TGGCCAAGCACTTGTATTGTTCCAGGATTCCCAAATCCCAGAAGCCCACTTGCTGCTTCCCTTCCCCCAGCTTCCCCAATAATTTTTTTTTCCCCTATTCTTGTTGCCCTCAGTTAAATTATGGCCCGTTATTCCCATGACCTTGTGCTTCACTCTCCCTTTGTTCCATTGATTCCCGCTGGCAAGGGCCGGGTGCCGATGCGCAGCCGGATTCCACACTCTGTGAGCAGGGATTGCCTTTGTTGGGAGCAGCTCTGGGACTGCTGGGGCAGCTCCTTACAAAGAGGAGCCCACGGCTGTGGGGTTGAGGCTCCAGGGTCCCCCCAAACCTGTCTGGTTCAGCACAGGGACAGGATGAGCAGCTGGGATGGAGCTCTGGAGTTGCCTGAGTGGAGAAGCTCCTCTGGTGGGAGCCTGGCTGTGCCAGAGGGAAGGGGAGAGCTGAATAAATGGAGATGCTGCCAAGACATTTCAGGCTGGTCAGTGGGGATTGTCATCTTCAGGGTTTAAGTTTGATGGGGGAGTTAAGAGAAAGGGAGGATGTTTTCTTCCTCTTAAAATAACGGGAAAGGAGGTGGAAAAAGGACTCTGCTCTGGTTAGATGTTCTAGGCTATCTGAGCCTGGGTGATTTCCCCTGTAAGTTGGCTCAGTTCTGTGTTGACTCAGGACTTCTGGGTCCAAGAAGCTTTCAGAGCAAATCCAGGGCTATGGAGAGGGAGCGTGAGATAGGTCTTGATCTCTTCCCCTTGTGCTGGAGCATGAACACAGTGCAGAAGAATTTGGTGCAGTCCCTCAGCTGTAATTGGGACTCTCTGTGGCCCACCCATTTAGCAACACTGGAGGGGCAGAAATGTTGTGATCACCTCATTCCTGTCCCTTTGCCAGGTGAATTCCTGTGCCCAGTCGCTGTTCTTACCACGTGTGTCCTTGGTGCATCTCCTCTGCTGCAGATTCCCATGTAAAGAGTGGAGATAAAGTCCCTCTGTCTTTGGGGAAACCTAGAGATAGATTTTCTAATCTTCCCAGACTTAGGCTCCCAAGTCCTCTCATCAAAGCTGATAAGGAGGCTTGGGATTCTTAGATGTGTTGGTGAAGATGACTCTTAAGCCACCCAGCTCTGCTGAGTGCTGGGAGGCTGAGGATTAGAGGCAGTGCAGGAGACAAAATAAACCCCACATAACCTGGCTTCCACAAAAGCTGGGTTTACGGTGCCATGCCCACATCCTTTCTCCTTATGGTGCAAAGCTGTTGGGTGATCCCTGTTTGTAGGGACAGCACTGTCCTCCTCCAGCTCACCTGCTTTCCAGGCCTGTCTCTGTTCATGCTTCAGTGTAGGAGGTGAGTGCTGAGAGAGAGGGGGAAAAAATCCACTTTGATTTCTAGATCTTTGGGGAAAATATTTGACTTTGTTCCCAAAAACCTCCCTCTGGATCACTTTCTGTACTGCCTTGCCAGGCCAGCAGGAGCCTTGGAGGTAAATGTGGGGTCTGGGGACCTGGGTGGGTAGGTGGTTTTGTGGTCAGGGCTGTGTTGCACTGGTGGCAGGGAGTAATCAGTATTCTTGGGGCCTCCCCCAGCCCCCCTTCCTTGTGTTATTGCCTGGCCCAGCTTCATAACGTTACAGCTCTACTAATAATGTCTTTCGTTCTCAGCTTTGATATTAAAAACTGCCCTGATTTGGCTCCCTTTCAACTGAAATGCTTTGCAGAAGGCAGGAGAGAAGAGGCAAAAGCAAAAGGAATTCGGGGAATAAAAAAACCAGAGCCCCCTTCACCTTAAAGGATGAGGAGGGATGACTGGGGGAAGTGTTGCCCTTTGCAGGTGCATGGGCTGAGCAAACAGCTGTCCTGGGGCTCTGTGGTCCATCAGTAGCAATGTACTCGATGCACAACCTGTCTCTGTGAGGGTGGTGAGACATCCAGGAGCTGCACTGCCAGCTCATTTGCAAAACAGATTTGGTGCTGCTGCTGCTGCTGCTGCTGCAAAGTCAGGGGGAGATGGACTGTGGCTGCTCCCACCCCAGTGTCCTGGTTCTTTGTGTGAGCACAGGGAAGGGTTGGATGAGTGGCACGTGGAGATAAAGGGATGAATTTAGAGTGCAGGGCCCTGTGAAAGGGCGTGTGTTTGGCAGGTGTCAGTGGTGTGGCAAAGCTGGGCACGTGGGTTAAGTTGTGAAGAGGAAAGGAAACACAAACACGGCGCTGTTGAGGTTGTACCCCGGAAACTGTGAGTTGACTAAATAATTAATGAAGCTGGGACCTGCCTCTTCCCTGCTTTGCAGCTAAGGAAGCAAAGCAAACATGGGGTATGACTTCTTAAAACACTGGGCTGGAGCTCAGAAGGTTGCTGTTCAGTCTTGTGCTCTCCTCATGACTGGGTAAATTTGGGGTGGGTTGTTAGATCTTTGTGCCTCCGTACTGGCTACTGATGATAATTGTTCCCTTTTCCTTGCTGACTGTGTATCTTGTTGATTTAGTCCCCACACTTCTGGGGCCAGGGGCATCTCTGCCACATTGCAGGGCTTTGCCTTAAACGAAAAAAAATAATAAAACTGAAAAGAGGAAATGTTTCATTCTGTGATGGAACTGAACTGCCAGAAACCTGCTGGGGGGCAGCCCAAATATGGACTCAGTGCATGGGATTTGGTGCTGTGCTACAAGGTGAACCCAGGATGCTGGAAGGATCATCCTGGGGATTAAATCACTAATGTGGGATCCCTCTGGAGGACCAAGCCAGGGGCAGGACACCTGGGACCTCTCCCCGTGGCGGGATGTCACACCCGCCCTGTGTGCCCAGAGGTGGGGGGGTTCTGGAGGCTGGGGGAGCACAGGTCTGAGGGAGTTGGTGCTGTTTCAGAGTTCCTGCTTGATCTTGGCCTTCCCCTGCACCAGTGCAGCTGCCTGGGAGGGAGATGGGGCTTGCAGCCTGTCCTGCTGACGTGTGTGGGAACAGTGGGAATAGCAGGGCACGGCGCGAGTCGGAGCGAGCGTCTGCTGGCAGATGGGCCCGGGGGTGGGAGTGGAACAGCGGGAGGGAAGCAGGGATGGGGGGTAATGAGGTGCCTTGGCAGAGCTGTGAAACCAAGGAATCTTCACTGCTCACATTCCAACTGCTGTCACATGGAACCGGTGCTTCTGTCACCAGTTCTTTTCCATGGAGTCTCTTCCTGCCTTAAAAAGCCCTCGTTGGGCTTTGCTGCCTCCTGGCCCGGGGCTGGGAGGGGCGAGCGGAGCAACGGGACTTCTCGTTGTTCCAAAGCCACAAATCCTGGATGAGAACACTTCTGGGGAGGACATGTGAACTGGGCCTCCAGCGCTGAGGGTTTGCAGCACCAGGCTATAACGTTTCCAGGAAAATCAACATGAAGAATGAAGCGTTCCGTGGGGAGGGAGCTGGTGCCTCTCTTTGTGCTCTGTGGCCAGGTACTTCTGAGCTTCTGGTGCTGCCTTGGCAAGCTGAGACCGTCTGTGGCTTTGCAGGAGTTTGTGTAAAGGGGAAACTGAGGCAGGAGGATTGATAAAATTCAAATGGAAAGACTGACTCAACACCTGGGATGTGAAGTGCTGAGAGAACTTCAGTCACTGGCTGACTCTGGCCTTGCCCATCTGCTTTCCAGTTGCCACTGTTTTGTTGTGTTTCCTTTGCTCTTGGTTCTGGATGGTCTCAAGGCTCTGCAGTTGTCTCTTGAGTGCCAGTTGTGTTAAGGGGCTGGGTGACAGGGTCATGGCCAGATGAGGTCGGAGGCAGCCTGTGCTCTTTAAAAGCCTGAAATGCCACTTGGAACTTTGCAGAGCTCCTGGATTGCTCCTGGGATAGAGGAGGGCTGCCCTGGGCACAGTGGCTGGCTGCTCTCTGCACTCAGCTGTGGCAGCCACAGACCTGTGCCCTGGATCTCTTGATAAATCCAGTGCCAAGGCAGGAACCTGGGCTGCTCAGCTGAATTCCAAGTGATGGGGAGTGATTCTGAGTGTGAGGGACAGTTGCTTGGCTGAAAACGTCCCCTGGAACAGAAATAATGTCGTTGTTGTTATAAATAGGACCGAGGGGGGTTTGTAACCTTCCTTAACCCACACATTTTGGGCAGATTGCAGCAGCTTTGCATGTGTGTGGATGCACAGGCAGATACAACCTATTCTCACTCAAATATGGTGCTTGTTTGTGAGATTTTTTTTTTCCCTTTTAAGATGCTGCATCTTTAACAAGCCCTTGATAGATGAGAATTTGATGCTTGCAGTGACAAACAGGCTCTTCCTTCCTGCCCATATGCACCATCATGCTTTCAGTTTCCCCCAGCGTTATTATGGGAGGATATTGATTTTAAATCTGGTCGGGGATGCTGTAATTGTATATTAGATATTTTCTGTTGGTTTGTAGGGCTGCAGTAATGCAAAAGGCTTGAGTGTTTCCGTACAATCCAGAGGGGGAAGATTGCTAAGGACCTTGAGGTTTTGAAGGAGGAGGGGGGGAAGAGGGAGGGGGAGAGACAGAGAGAGAGGGAGAGGAGAGGAGAGAGAGAGAGAGAGAGAGAGAGAGAGAGAGGGAGAGATACTGTGGTAGGAAGATTCAGAGATCTGTTGTGCCTTTTTTTTTTTTTGTGTTGTTTTTTTCCTCCCCTTCCTTTCCCCCAGTTGCTTTGCATCAGGGCATGAAAGGAGTGGAAACACCGGGGGGACAAAAGGCACCAGAACAAATGATGAAACTCAGTAAGGAAATCAACTGGATTCAGAATTTATAGCTTTAAAACGTTGCATTGATCAGTGTGTGAATAGTCATTATGTGCTTTTGGGCTGCGTGATTAGGAAAGCAGATCAAGGCTCTCAAGATGATGATTTTTCTTACTTTCATTTTTTTTTTCCCCTCTGCTTGTAATATATGTGTGTGTGTGCCTCTGTGTGTGTGTGTGAGAGAGAAGCATAAATACCAAAGTCTCTCTGGTCGCTTCTGCAAAGAGGAAAGTACAACCTTGTCTTGATACTCAGGTTTCTCATCTCTCTTCTAGATGAAATTTTAGGCAAGAGAAGAGTATGTTCTCCCAACAGCAGCAGTGAGTGTCCTTTAGAAAGCAAGAAAGCCAGAAGTGAGTCCCCAAAGGGTAAGTGCTGCTTCTCCCTCCCTCCCTCCCCCATCCCCTTCCCCTTTCTTCTCCTTTCTTAAGAGTGGAACTTAATTAAAATTAAGGAGCCGGGGGGAGGGAGGGAGGGTTTGCAAGAGGCTGCGGTGTGGGAGCCGTGTCTGGCACTGAGGGTGCATGAGGGAGGCGACCAGGGCTCTCTCTGCTTTCTTTATCTCCTCGGGGGGAGAGGGGAGGCTCGCGGTGTGAGCCTCTTAATTAGAATAATTGCTTTACGATTAAAAGAAAAAAAAAAAAGGCAAGCCGCAGCCTTCGAGGTGGATTTTCAGGGGTGTTTCCACTTTTTCGGGCAGAATGTCTTGATTACATGTTTAATATAAAGAGAGACACGCAGGCTTATCGTGCTGGCATCTGTTCCTTTAAAGGGAAAAAAAAGAAGCCTGTCAGGGAGAATAGGGCTGCCTAGTTCTCTCTTATGCATTTATGGCTCTGTTCCTATAGAGATGGAATCTGCCGAAGGTTTCTCTACTTAGGGGTTTATTTTTATTTTTTAATCTCTTGGTTTGTCTTCGGGTTCTTTTCCTGTGAACGCGATTTTTAAACTTTCTTTACGGCTGGCAAAGTGGGGTGGGTAATGGAGCCTGCAGTTAATGAGTTTGTCTCCAGGTTGGGTAAATGAGGTTTTGCAGGCCGTTTACTTAAAGGCTTTGTTGTTAAGTTCAAACTAATTAGCTGTCAGTAATACCCATCTAGTGTAATCGCTGTGCCTAACCTGCACTCTTTGCCACTTAAAAAAAAATAAAAAAATAAAAGCAGATCCTGTTCCATGGGTTTGGAGTTCAGCTGAGACTCTCCAAGGTGTATATCCTCAATAACCCATCCAGGGAATCTCAGAAGGGACTTTTTGCAGCAGTTTGTCCTAAAGCTTTCTTAAACTATGTGCTTTCTATTATGCTTTAGAAAGATATATTGTAGGGACCTGTTCTGCATCCTGATTTCACAGAATGTTCCTGTATATTGTTTCTTGTCCCCAAATTATGATCTGAAGGCAGCATACTCTGAGAGGATGTTGAATGCTGGTGTCACTTAATAGAATATTGCCAACATCACCTGAGAACACACTAAATCTTCTCTTTCATGTAACCCTCTCCTGCCTGTTAACTCCTTTATACCAGTAGAAGTCCCTTAGATTTTACTGGGAACCATTTATACTGCTACTCTTTATCTGTTTTCCTTGATTTGCTTTCATCTGCCCTATTCTTGTTATCCTGGAAATGTTTCTAGTGGATGTGCAGGAAAATTCCAGCAGGATGCTTCTATAGATTCTGAAACATGTTTGTTATATGAGACGTGGGACTCCCGTAACACACTTGGCACTTTGCTATTTCTGCTGAGTTTGTATCCTTTGTAATTCCAAGGTATCAGAAGCCAGGTAACAGCAACCTGTGTGGCCTGGCTGAGAATGGGCTAAACTTTAAGCAAGCTGTCTGAAACCAAACTGTTGCATTTGGATTCATCCCAGTAAAGTGGCTGAAGTGGCACAAATGGATTGGTTTTGCCATGGGAGCAGCAGGGTCAAATGATCTCATTCCATTTCTTTCCCTCTGGCCTTCCCACCGTTTTTGTTTACTGGGGTGGGCTGAGGGCAGTGTGAGGCAGGTGAGGAACCCTTGGCTTTGCAGGGTGCACTTGGGATCTAAATCCTGCTCCTTAGCTCCCAGTGAGTGGGGGGATTCCCTTCCAGGGGTTCCCAGGAAGCCCCGAATAAAGAAAAGTTTTGTTTTCTGCTCCCACTTTTCTTCCTCAGAAATCCTTCCCCGCCCTTTGAAAGAGATGAGACAGAATGGAAATTTGGAGCTGGGCCTTTTAGTGATCTCCCATGTGACCTGTTTTTTTTATTAGATCTTTGGAGAGCCCCCGTTCCCTTCAGTGCTGTGCAGGAATTTAAGCCTAGGCTGTGCTGATGCTGGAATACCATTGGAATAGTGAGGGGCTGAGACTTCTGTGCTTTGGGGGTCTTTGTTTACCCACCCCCTGCTATGGAAAGGGGGTTAAAGGAGGGGCTGCAGCCAGTGTTCCTGTCTTAAGGCCCAGACAGTGACAGCACCTCACAGCTGAGAACTCCCAGGAGCCTTCCTGTCCTGCTGTCAGTCAGGCAGTGTTCCTGTGTCATAGATGCCATGGAGGGAAATGATCCCCGTGTTCCCAGCTCTGGCTGGAGATGGAACGATCCACGCTGTGTGACAAGCCATTTTCAAATGGGATGGGCCCTAAAGGCCAGTTACTTGGGATTTGGGAACTGCTGCAGTGGAGCAAAGTGTGAGGCTGTGCTGGAGCCCCAGGCTTGGCTGGGACCCAGAGTGCAGTTTGTGATTTAGGAGCGGGAAGGGAAGCAAGGACCGGCTGGAGTTTTGGAGCCTGTGCAGCCTCACGCTGTGCTGCAGTAGGAGCAGGGTCTGCAGTGTTCCCTGGGATACAGCCCTCCTTTTCCTCCAGCCTGGTGGTCCTGTGCCTTGTGCAGGTGCTGCTCCTCCACATCTCACATCCCCTGTGGTGGTGACCGGCTCCAGGCAGGACTCTGCCCCTCTCCACCACACACTGCCTTGGAAGCAGCTCTTGCTCTCCATCACACAGTGCCCTAGAAGCAGCTTTTGCTCGGGGCTCAGCTGCCTTGTCTCGGGAACAGCCTTTTGAAGAGCAGGAGTGACCCCATGGCACAGCTCGTGCTGCCGTGGCCGCGCCTGACAAGGCGAGGAGAACAGAGGCAGCCAAGGAAATCACTCCCGCTCTCCGACTGAGCGAAAAAACACCTGTAGGGCTGGAAACCCTTCCAGCGGGGAGCAGCCACCTTCCCTTCCCCCTCCCCAGCTCGCAGCATGCGCTCCAGAGATCAAAAGAGAGCCCTATCTCGGTGGAAACGGGGCCGCGCCGCTGTCAAACAGAGCAGAACGTTCTCGCGTCTAATATGGAAATGGGAGCGGTATCAGAGGCTGGGAGCGAGGGCTGTGCTGGCAGGTCACGGAGGAAGCTTTCTCCTCTCCCCAGGAGACTATTCCCCAAGTGAAACCCTCGCTCTCCCGCGGCAGCAGCGCGTCTGGAGATCTGCTCCCCCCGTACCTCGAGACGCGAAACAAAAACCGAGGGGTTGCGAGAGGGGGAAAAAACGGCAAAGAGCGTTTTTGGTTCCCGTTTGAGCTGCTGAAAAAATAAATCTGGTAGGAGCCTCATCGTTTGGGAAGGTTGGAAGCCGGGCTGGACGAAGTGCTGGAAAACACACGTAGGGAACAATATTGTGCTCACCCCCTGGGGCGGGCGATGAGCTCATGCGCTGCTCCCTCTGCCATTCTCTTTTCTTTGCTATTGTGGATCATTTAAAACAAAACAAAGTCTTGCTGCGTCTTTGGGTGATGAACTAGACCAGAACTGGAGCTGGACTGCAGCTGAGCAATTCAGATCCAGCCTCTGTCAGTTTGTCCCTCTCCTTTGGAGGGGAACATCCATATGTTGGTGGCTTTGGCCGCTGTCCAAATAGGCCAAATGAAGGAACAAGGCTTGGCCCCGTTCTTGCTAAAAACTTCACTGCCCCCTCACACCCCCCAAACCCAGACTGCTGAGTGTGGTGGGAGTGGGCAAAGGCCCCCCCTGCCCTGGCAAGAGAAGACCCTAAAGCTACTGACCAAGACCTGGCCTTGAGTTTGCAGTGAGTCGCATTTGCAGCAGGTTCCTCGAGCTTTGACTGGGGTTGGATAAAGGGAACCTTGGCCTGTCATGGGTTTGTAGCAAAGGAAAAGGGCTGGATAGGCTGGATGCTCATGTTTTGTCTGGAATTGCTTGGAGAGGATGGACCTTACAGAATTCTGTGGGAAGGTTGTGCAGCAGTGACAGGTCCTCCAGGAGTTCCCTGTGGCTGTGCCATCAGCAGTGGCAGGGGTGGGCTCCCCTTGGCTTGGGTGAACAGGAGGGGGCTGGTGCAGAGCATGAGGGCCCAGCAGATGCTGCCTTGGCTCTGCCTTCCCCTGGCCCTGCCAGAGTCCATTTCACACCTGGCGGCTGGAGGAGATTTGGCGAGATCAGTCTCCCGCATTACCCCTGGTAATGACAAAAGCAGACAGCAAAGCTTCAGCAAAGCTGGAATTACTGCTGGCTGAGTCATGTGAAATCTTCCAAGTTTTAAGTGTGGAAATCCAGCCTTTCCCTGGGCTCCTCCTTCCTCTCAGCCTTCCCTTGCCACCCCCATTCTCCCTCCCCTCCTTGCACCTGAAATCTGCTCTGCGGCTGATCCGATAGAGTTTATGGTAATTAAGTGTTATTAAATCCCCTCCCCCCCTCCCTTTTCTTCCTCTAATGACACAGCTGTGGGGGGGGTGAAAATCAGTGTTTTTCTAAATCAGGTCTGTGGCATGTGGCTTTGCTCCTTAGACCTTTGGTTAAGAGCATCAGGAGGGAACTGAAACCTTGTGCTTCTGCATCCCTGGGGGAGGTGGCAGGAGCGGTGAGAGAGCAGAGGAGAATGTGGGAATGTGGCCCCTGGGAGTGACTTGGAGGGAAGGAGACCTGGAAGGGAATTCTGCCCACCACTCCCCTGCTTCCACCAGGGGTGTCTTGCAGGTTTGGGTGCTGGAGGAGGGAGTGGGAGGGACCAGGTGTGGCTTGGCTGTTGTCCAGGGCAGCCTCTCATTTTGGGGTCTGGCTTTTAGGGGGTGAGGCACACAGGGAACCCAGCTCCTCATCCCAGCCAGCCTGAAGCAGCCTCTGAACCTGTGATTGCACAGGAAGCCAGTGGTCCCTGAGGTGCAGATGAGTGTCAGCGGGGTAGAGATCCATGGTTGCAGGTAGAGCCACAAATTGCTGTGCTGGAAGGCTGACCTGAGCTGGAGGGGACTGAGGTCATTTCCCTTCTGCAGAGGAAGAGTGCCTTGGGAGCCAGTGATGCAACCCTTTTGTATTGAAACTTTGTGCAGCTCAGACTATTTTTTAAAATAATAATAATAATATTTATTGTTGTTGCTGTTGTTGCTGTTGCTGCTGTTATTGTTGTTATTCCCTCCTATGTTTTGAGGAGAGGGTGGTTTCATTACAACCTGCGAAGGTTTCATCCACCAAAATCTGAGCCCTGTGTGCTTGGCTGTGCCGTGGGTTTGGTGTCAGACAGCACGTTCACCTCTCATCCTGTGCAAGGCAGAAGTGACCCAGTCCCTGAGCTGCTGTGGCAGGGCCACGTTTTACAGCCTCTCTGTCTTCTTGGGCTGTTTTTGTCTGCTACAGACTTACATTTTCTGATAGGCAGCTTAGGGGCCTTTGTCTCACCTGGGAGAGACCCACAGCTCTTTTCCCAGCAGGATGGCCCATGCCCGTGTGCTCCTCACAGTGCAGAGCGAGTGGCCTGTGCTCAGAGCCACCACCTTGAACTTGGAGCCAGTCTGGCAGCAGAATCACCTGCCGTGGCCCCCTGAGGGCACTCTGTCAGTGAAATGAAGGAGCACAAATCTGGGGCACAAGGTGGGGTGGTCTTGTCACTCACTGAACACAGTGGTGGTCTTGTGACTGCAGCGTGGGGGGAGCCCGTCCCGCTCCCTCCCTCCCCCTCTGCCCGCTCAGATTGTTACTGGGAGTTCCTCTCTGAGTAATGAAAAGGCTTTGCCTGTGGGGAAGATCCGAGATAAAACAGTGTTAGAGCAGCCAAGGCGGAGAGTGGTAATTACTCTGATTTGTGCTTACAGTAAACAGAAAAGCCTCTGTGGTTTTCTCTCCCTGACTGCCAGACCGGGATCCCTCCTGCCCCAGGAGCAGGCAGGGCCTTCCTCAAAGCACCTCCCTCCTCCTGGGCTCTGCAGTCATTCCGGGAAGATGGATAGGGAGGCATCCTGGGTGTGATTTTAATGGCTTCAGGGTGCTCAGCCACATGTACAGATGTGAAACAACCTGCTCCTGAGATTTCCCCCTGCCCCCAGAGCTGGGCAGGTGGATGTCATCACTGCCAGCATCACCTCCCTGCGCTGGGTGATGAGCATCTCTCACGTTTTTGTGTCCTGGTGGGTGTTTAGGAAGGTGGGGGCAAAGAGGTGCATGTCTGGCCAGGTACGAGCTGAAAAAAGAACTCATGACCCCCGAGATGAAAGGGTGAGAACTCAGTGAACTCTTCCATCCTCCCTGTCCCCTCTGCCACGCTGGGGGTACAGAGCTTGCTGGCAATTTTGTGTTATTATTGTATTATTACCATGCAGTGCTTGGTGCTTTAGGAGGAAGAAGAAAATACAGCTGTTGAGTTCTTTGGGTGATGGGGGCTTGGGTGATGAGGGCTTTTCTGTGTTTAAGTGTAGCCATGTTTGGGGGTTTAGGAGGTTGTTAGATTGAGCACATAGGATAGCTGATTTGGCAGCTTGGTACATCAGGCTCAGTGGGTACACAAGAGAGTTGTGGGAATTTGTGCTAATATCCCTCTAACCCCCTTATCTCTTTCTTTTTGCACTGTCCCTATACTTATGTGATTTTCCACTGTATTTCTCTCTGGAATAAAAAATAAAAAGACCCAAATCTTTCTGCTCTTCAGAAAACTCCCACACGCCTCTGCTCGAGGACTCGGTGACTCAGATGACCCCGGAGGAGCACTACAGACGCATGATGTCAGCACTGAATGAGCATGGCACCTTTGAGGAGCAGCAGCAGCAACGTCTCTACCAGCTGGCCAACAGCATGGCAGTGCCCAGCCACGGAGGTACAGGATCTGCAGAGGGGAGGAGGGGCTTGTGTTGCATTTCGGGATAAGTCTGTAAAGGTTCCTAATCCCCCCCGTGTGCACCTGAGGGGGATTGATGGGCTGCAGTGCTGTCTTGTTTATCATGCAGCGAATAGAAGTGGTGCTAAAAAGTGTCCTAGAGACCCTTTTCTCCCACCATCTCCGTGGGGGCATCTCCCCTCAACCATCTGTAAGTGCCAGTTCCTTCTTTACCCTATGCTTTTCTTTACTGGAATAGACTCACTATGGTATCACTACTGTGTATTTTGCAGTGGTGGTGAGAGGAGTCCTTCCTTTGCTTCAAGAGTTTGTGTCAATGTGAATATTCAGGATCTCTGGTGTAAGCCTTTATTTGGGTCACAGTGTGGAGCAAGGGGGGTGAGCAAGTCGGGATAACACAGCAGGGGTGTGAGATGTAGACAGTGGCACACACTCCTGCCCTGTAGTGATGGAAATGGCAAGAGGATGTTGCTGCCTTCTCCTGGGGGCTGGGGTGGTGCCCGGAGGGGGCAAGTGTCCTGCAGTGCTGGGATCTAAGAGGTCCAATGTGAATTGGAGGATTGCTGGTATGTTTTCCCTGGGCTGTGGAAGGAGCTGGCTGGATCCAGCACGTCCTGCGCTGTGCCTAAAGGGGGCACCAGGCAGTTACAGGATCTGCCCTGGATCCACTTGGCAGGATGCAGGATCCATGAGCGTTCCCTCCCCGGGTTCCTCAGCCCACCTCACCTTCCCTCAGGTGAGCTGAAAGTGCTGCCACTGGCTCAGCTTCAGCCCTGAGCAAAGCTGTGCCTTGTACCGAGTCCTGCGCTGCAGGAGCCAGGGGTGGGGGAAGTAACTCAGCCCTCTGGATCAGGCAAAGCCAGGGAGATGGAGGAGGTGATGCTGTTCCAGTCGTGGAAGCAGAGGGTTGAAGCATCACTGAAAAGCAGGGCTGTGCAAGGATCTGTCCCTCTGAAGCTTCCTGCCCGAGGTGTGGAGGGCTCACACGGTGAGCCGGGGAAGGAGCACAAGCAGCATCAGCAAAGCATCCAGCAAGAGCTGGAGGAGAATCTCTGGTCTCTGAGTGTAAATCCCCAGGGCTCCTTGTTAGGTTAATGAAGAGGCTGTCTTCTTTTCCACTCTGTTTGATTTGATTGGCTTCTCTGGGGGCAGGAAGGCGATTCCCTTCGCTGTGGAGTAAGGATTTGCTTATCAGCAAAGGCACGGCACAAACCTGCGCTGAGGCATGACCTGGTGAACATGGCACATGCTCTGTGTGTGGTGTTGAGCATTCCCAGGCATTTTCAGAGCTGCAAACACATGGATACAGGGCCGTAGGGCTGGAGTTTCACATGTACATGTGATGAACACAGAGGATAGGACAGCGTGTAACAAAAGGGTGACGCACTGATATGCCCAGGTTGAATATTTAACCATGTAATTCAGATCTAGACCATGTAGAATACATATGTAGACCACGTTGAATACAACAGAGCAAATACACAGCTCAAAATGTGTTGTGTGTACCAGTGTTGTGACAGACAGTCACAACAGACCACCCAACCTGGCACCGGATGGCTGCTGGACTCAGGGACGTGTCCATCCCACCAGCACGTGCTGCAGAACTTCTCTCCCTTATAACGAGCAGAGTAGCTCATTACATCAAGAGCCTGACGTATTTTTATGATTATGATTAAATTGTCTCAGCAGCATTTGTTAGGTGAGGGGGTCACACTGGGGTTTTGGGTGGGCAGGGGGAGAAGAGGCGCCTGCACGGACAGACTCGCTCGTGTAACACTGACAAGACAAAACTTGGTGTATTTTTGGATTGTCTCCACACCACAGGGCCCTGGTCGGGCTATAAATTATTAGTGCCAGTACAAAGCGCAGTTTATCTGCGGGCTCACATGGAGGCACCAATAACATTAATAATTTAAAAAATGTTAATAATTTAGAAATCTTTTTTTTTTTTTAATTGCTTTTCAGCCCCCTCCCAGCCCCCCCCTCCCTCCTCCGCCCCCGTTCTCCCAGTGGCATTCATCCCACATTCTGAATTCAGTCTGTCTCCGTGCCTGGAACCTCCATCCGCCAGCGTCCCACTGTCAATCAATCTGATTTCCCAACTGTCAGAGTGCAGGATTGTAAATAACAGATCCTGGGGGAGAGGATGGAGGGGGGTCTGGGCAAGGGGGTAGGGGCGCAGGGGAGGGGAGGAGGGGGGAGAAAGCGGCAAGGAGAGGGTGGGTGTGCAGGGGGGTTGTTGCGGTCATTCAGGATCAATGCAGCTCCTGAAACTGGCTGCGCGCCAGACTTCTAAATTACAGGCGCTGTGGCGATGAGGAGTGACCTGGGTTTTTCAGATAATTAATTTATAAACATTTCGAGGTGCACGGCCCCTGGCTCGGCGAATTCTCTGGGCCTTTTTACGTGATCCGGTGGGGTTTGGTGTTCCTTACATACCCCTGCAGCTCAGAAGCGTCATTTTAAGGTTTGTCCCCTCAGCTGGGGGTGTGGGGACAGGGACTGTGCGTGTGTAAGTGTGGCTGGAAATTCAGGCACCCGTGCCCTCCTTACTGCCAGCAAAAACAGCAGCTGTGTAAGAAGTGTTTCCACCCCACCACGGGGCTTCAGCCCTGACCGTCACCAAAATGTTGGATGATGTGAGTGAGGAAGCTCAGGCTGGGCTAATAGGGGTGTGGGTATCTGGGATTTCCAGAACTGAGGGAAAACAGCATTGTGGTATAAAGGAAGGCAAGGAGATTGGAAGTCTGTCATCACCAGGGTCATGTGTTGTTCCCTATAGTAACCTGGCTTTACAAATCCATCGTGGGAAGAGGATGGATGTGCTGCTGGACATGTGGAGGGCTTTGCAATCTCAGTGTGCAAGCTGATCCTGCCCAGGGCGTGTTCACTGAGATAAATCTCCCTCTCCTCCTCTCCCCAGCTGTGTTTTGGTTTCCTTTTGCAGCCTGGTGCACAGTGAGCACGTGAGGGAGGTCTCCTCAAGTGTGCTCTTGTGCGTCTGAGTTTCCTGTGTGCCATGTGGATGGCAGTAGAGGTTTTGGTGTGGGATGTAAGTTGTGTATGGGGTGTTTTTATATAGATACAGGGACTAAGGGGCTCCTGATGCTTCACTGGGAGAGAGGAGCACTCTGGAAAAGCCTCTGTCAGTGCGACTGGTATGGGTGTCCATGTCACAAGTCCTTGTTGTTCCCTGAGCAGCAGCACGTCAGCTGTACCTGCATCACCTGCTCCTCCTTGGGGCTCTCTGTGATCCCCTTTAGCCTGTGCTTGATGTGATTGTGGCCATCACACAGCCTCTGTGTGGGCAGCTTGTCTGTGCTGACACCTGCCCTGGAGAGACTGTACAGGTGTATAACCTGTCACTGCACACGTGTCACAGGTAGGGTGACACAGGTCACGGGTTCTGCAGTGGTACCAGGGCAGCCCAGGTTTAATGAGGGGTGCATTTCTGACCTGCAGCTGATGTCTGATGGAAGTGTTGTGCCTAAGGCTGGGAGGGGCCCCTCCTGTACCCCCTCCTCCTCTGCCCTGTGGCCAGGCCCTTCCCATTCCTACAGCAGAGCTGTGCCAGGCAGGTGCAGTCCCTGCAGGGCCAGCCCTCAGCCCTCAGCCCTTGTGAGGCCACAGCATCCCCCAGGATGTGGGTGGCTGACTGGGGGGGGCACCATGCTTGGGAAAACAGCTCTGGGTGCTCAAACCTGGGTGCTGTCCCTGGGAGCAGGGGTGGGTGTTCCCCGGGCAGGTGAACGACGGGAGTCAGGTGTGGATTTAAGGGGCTACCCGGGGAAGTGCCCCCCTGTTCCCTGCGTTCAGCAGCAGCTGGAGATGCCGGGCTGTGGTTTCGGGGGGGATGCTGTTCCGACCGGGGCAGACCACACGCGGCAAACGCTGCGGCCCCCGGGGGAGCCCCCGTAACCTCGGCGGAGCCCAGAGGGGGCGGAGGGGGCACGGCGGGGCCGGGGCCCGGGGCAGGTGCCACCGCGGCTCCGCTCGGGACCGGCCGGGAGGCTCCGCGCCCGCGGAGAGAGGGGGCAGACGGCAGTTTGGGGAGATCCTCCCTCTCCTTTTGCTCTCCCCGCATCCATCCATCCCTCCTTCCATCCTTCCCTCCCTTTTCCCCCCTCCTTCCCTCCCTCCTTCCCTCCGGCAGGAAGGCAATTAAACAGCAAATCCACCCCCCCCCCCCCCCCCTCCCTCCCTCCCGTAGTTGCACAATTTCCTCCGCTGCCAAACTCCCTCGGCGGCGGAGGCGGATCCCGCCAAGAGCAGCCCGAGCCCGCTCCGCCGTGTGAGTACCGGGGCAGCCCGGGCAGCCTCTCCCGGAGCCCCGGAGCCGCGGGGATGGGCGGCGGGGGGGCAGCTGTCGCCCGAGGGGCTGCGGGCACGGCCGGGAGCAGCCCCGGGGCAGCGCTGTCGCCCGCGGGGAGCCCGGAGCATCCCCGGAGCAGCCCCCGCGGCGGGGACGGGCGGGCAGCGGGTGTTTCTGTCCGTCCATCCGCGGGGCTGGGGCCGAGGGGAGGAAGGAGGGGGGTTGTGCGGGGGTCGATGCCGGGCAAGCAGCTCATCCCCTTCCCTCCTGTCCCAGATCTCCTGCGGGCGCGGCAAGAGGTGGCGGCGGCGGCGGCGGCGCGGAACCCCGGCGCGATGGAAGCGCACATCCCCTCGGCCAGCAACTCTTCCAGCCAGCGGAGGAAGCAGGGCCTCCCCCAGCACAGGGACACCCACTTCCCCGAGAGGTACCGCGGGGACGGGTCGCCCCCCGCCCCGGGGCGGGGTTTGGTGCGGGGTAGGGGGGCGTGGGGGGCTTCGCGCCGGTGGCACCCTCGGGAAAGCCTGGAAAAGCTGGCACGGGTGCCCTGGGCGTGCGGGAGGGGGGGGAGTGCCTGGGTCAAACGTCGGAACGGGATGCCCCAGGGAGGTGGTGGAGTCACCATCCCTGGAAGTGTTGGAAAAACTTGTGGATGTGGCGCCTCGGGGACGTGGTTTAGTGGTGAACAGGGAGGTGTCAGGTTAATAGCTGGACTCAGCTATCTCGGAGGGCTTTTCCAACCTTAAGGATTCTGTTACTCTGTGCAGTGCCCAGGGGTTGGGCAGGGCTGGTTTGCCCAGGTGAGGTGTGAGTGTCTCCCCTGGGTGTTGTGCAGGTGCAGAAGTTGGTGGGGGGTGTTCTGTCCCATGCCGGGGTGTCTGTATGGAAAAGGGAGTGATCTGTGCTTGGGCACATGTGCGTCCACATCCAGGTGGGTGACTGTCTGGCTGGAATGATCCCAATCCTGCCCTGGATCTCCAGGGCAGATGTCACTTCAACCTGTTCTTCGGCCAAGAGCAAGTTAAGGTGTTTAACTTTGCATTTTGCAGCATCCCCAGATGAGGAGAGAGAACAAATGCTCTAGGATGGAGTAGAAAGAGAAGTTTTCTTTTTTATGGAAAAAAGGCACAGCTTGCCTTTACCACTGCTAGGAGTGCTGGAAAGCTGATATTCCCCCCCCCCCCCCCCCCCCCCCCCCCAGGAAATTCTAGCTCATTTATCTTGCTCTGTGCCACGAGCCATTCCCTCAGCAATCAAGAACTTCAGAGGGAAATTAAATTAAAGCTGCGTGCGTTTCTGACAGGGATAGCAGAGGCGGGAAAGGGCCACGGGGATGCAAAGGCTTTGGATATCACGGGACAAGCTGTGAAAGTCTCTGGTATTCAGACTTTTTTTGGCTTTCATGAGGGGGTGGGCGCAGAGCAGGCTGCAGCATCACTTCTGTAGCATGTGCATGTACGTGTCGAGTCCAGAGTTTTCCCCTCCACACATTTATAGCCTTGGGGATCCTTCTTTTTTTTTTTTTTCTCCTCGTTTTTCCTTCTCTCCAACCAAGTGCCTTTGCAATGTGTAGGGGCTGGGCAGACCTGGTAAAAACCTTTTCTCCTGCGGGGTGTACTTTGGCTAACCCGCCTCATAAAACGCCGCCCGATCCGTGCGGGTTGCAGGCAGACCTGTGAGGAATGCAGGGATCCACGGGATTCAGTGCAGCCAGTCAGCAGGAACGTTCCTCCAGCGCTGTGTGGCCTGGAGAGGTGCCAGGCCAGCCGGAGGCCTGGCTGGAAAGGCATGTACGGGAAGGGTGGAGGCTTCAAACGGGGAGGTGCTGCTCGCAGGAGGGGCAAACCAAAAATGGGCTCGATATGGATCAGACCCAGGGGTACTTGCCACTGCCAGGCAGGTGCTGGAGGTAATGGAGCTGGGCTAGGCCAGGAAATTTGGTTGGGGAAAAAGGGGGGAGAAGTTGCTCGCTAGCTCAGGGGACAGAGACTGAAGGCCAGGAGTTGACTGTTGGAACAAACCACCACTTTTCATCTTGATTCGGTTCTCCAAGTAGCCCTGTGAGTGGTTGCATTGGTGGGAGCGAAATCCTGGTGAGCTGAGGAGAGGGAAGGAACACACAGGGGCACAACTGCTTTTGATGTTGAGAGGAACACCTGTGGGACCTTGGAACAGGTCTGCAGGAGTCACTCAGCGTCTCAGTGTCCCTTGTTGCTCGGTGACAGTGGTTCTCCTCTTGAAAGCAGGTTGTATTTTGGCATTTGGGAAGGCCTTGGAGTGGCTCAGTTGCAAGAGCAGTGTAATGTGGTAAAGTTGTGGGGAGCAAGGATATTTGCACCCATTTGTAAAGGTCTGGTTATTTGGCTGTGAGCAAGACCAGCCTGTGGCTGTGTTGGTGGGCACAAAAGAAAGAAGCTGGTTTTTGTTTTTGTGGTCTTGTTTCTGTCCAAGAGCTTGCAGGCTGAAATAAGGCTCACAGCAGGTTATCAGCCCTGCTTTTGTTTTCCCCCAGCGCTCCCAGCTCCGACTGTACATCCAGGACCTGCTCTTATTCCTGGGCAAAGTCATTCTCCAAGGAGCTTTGAGACAAACTATGTTGAAACATCCCTGTGGTGGGCCTGGCTTGGCACATCCTGTGCTCCATTCCTCTGCCATCCCAAGGCATGGCAAGACCAGGCTGTCTGTGTTTTCTGCAGCCATCTGCTCCCCCAGGGAGGGTGTGGTGAGGTCCTGTGTGGCCAACCTCCTTGACCAGGCTCTTAGGTGTAGTAATCCTTGGTTAGCAGAGCTGGGGAGACCTGCTGGGAAATGGGAAGCTACAGCTGTCCCCATGGTCATGACTTGGTGTGGTTTGTGGATGGCCCCATCCCTTGAATTGTCCAAGGCCAAGCTGGGTGGAGCTCTGAGCAACCTGCTCTAGTGCATGGGAAGGTGTCCCTGCCCGTGGTAGGGGATTGGAACCAGATGATTTTTAAGGTCCCTTCCAACCCAAACCATTCTCTGATTAGTGCACAATGTCGTTACTTCTCCCCAGAGCTCTGCAGCCACCTGAGTATCACTGAGGGTCCACTTGCATCCCTCTGCTCCCACTCAGGAGTGACCTGTTTGGAGCTGTCCTGTGCAAATTGTTCCTGGCTGTTTAGCCAAAACACCAGAGGTGTTTTTGGGAATGCCAGGAGAAGCTGTGGCCGTGTGTTGTAAAGCAGTAAAGTTCTGTGTGGGGTAATTTCTCCCTTCCATTCCCTGTAACCCTTGGGTTTTGTACTTGGCTGCCATGGTCTTTGTCAACAGGGTAAATCACAGCAGCCTCTGTGCACCTTTGTTATGAAGGTTCAGAATTTTCCAGAGGTTCAGGTGGGCACTGACAGAGGAGAAGGCAGTGGAGGGAGCTGCTTCACGTTCGTAGGCAAACCGTAGGTAGATTTACAGCGTCTCCTTTCCCAGGAGCAGAAGTAATAACACATGATGCAGGGGGATGTGAACTGTTTGGCATGGTGTTAAAATTCCATTTCAGCTTCCTATCGGGAGATCTGTGGGGATCAGGTCAGCTCTCAGGTGCAGCAGCTTTGTGGGTATGAATAATTAGTCACTTCAGCCATTATGTGTGGCAAAGCAAGGGGGCTGAAACCCACAGTGGTGACCCAGTTTTATTTATCAGGGCAGTGCTGATGTTTTTGCAAAGGCAGGAATGCAGAGGACTTGCCTGATAATGAGAACTACACCATACAGTTTTCCTGTTTCCAGGGGTGAGGGTGGGTCTGAGACAGGGAACAATTGGGAAGATGGGTGTGTTCAGATATTCATCAACTAATTATCACCCGTTTTTGCTGGTCAGAAACAGGCTGGAAGGTTTAATGGCACTAAGGACAAGGCAGGCAGGTGAGTGGTGGCTTTGAGGGGATGATACACTCATGTACACACAAACACATGGATATGGATTTTCTTGGACCAGGCTCCAAGGTCCCTTTAGTGGCTTGGTGGCCCCTTCACCTCTTTGGTCCATCTGTTGGGAAAGAGTCAGTAAAACTGAGACATCTTGCCAAAAGCAGACTCAAGCCACAGGCTGGAGAATCCATTTGGTTTCATGGTTTTGGTTTCCTAGATCCTTCCTCGATTGATTCAGGCTCGGATTACGGAGCGCCAGGGCCTGGTGGTTTGTTTGAGAGGATTGTTGAGTTCAGCGTTAAAAAAGACTTGGAAGAGGAAAGGGTACAACTAAAAGGTGCCACTGTAACTGCTCCAGCCTGGAGCACTTCCCATCTCCAAACATCCTGCAAAAATGGCAGATGTCTGTGCCCTGCAGAGTTTTCTTGGATCCTACCCCCTGGATCCTGCCTCCAGGCTTTGTTGGCAGTGTGCTTGGTTTTGCTGGGGTCGTTTAGCCTGGCGTGTTCTCACCCAAGGTGTTCATCTCTGTGCTTCTCTCCGAGCAGGCTGGTGTGTGTGGAGCCTGGGGAACAGCTTGTGTTCTCCCCCTTTAAGGAAAACCTTTCATGCCCTGCAAACAGAAGGGACTGGCCGGGAGCTCGGGCGAGGCTGGCTGAGCTGGTGGACAGTGTTGATCAGTGGGGTGAAGCTTGTTGGCTGAATCTGAAGCATCAGTTCTGTGTTAGGAGCTGTGAGGAGCTTGTTCTCGTGCCTGCAGTGTGTAGTGTGGGGTCTGGGGGGGACCTGCCCCTCTCTCGGGAGGGGAGAAGGCAGAGCCTGGTCAGAGGAGGGGCAGGAGTTGAGGCAGGTCCTTGGTACGAGCCCTCAGCTGCCTCCAGGGCTGTCTGCAACCAGCATTAGGGACACAGTTCATCCTCCAGGACCACAGGCAGTTCCAGGGGAAGGCAGGAGGAATCCCAAGGGACAAGAAACGCTGCCTGCCTGAGATGCCATCGGCATCCTCATCTCCGGGGTCCTGGGAATGGGAGCCCTTTGGCTGGAGTGTTCTGGGAATGGGAGCCACGGAGTCTCAGAGAGGCTCTCATTGCCCTTCCCTTGCAGAGCTGACAGACATTGTGCATCAGCCAGAGGCTTTCTCTGAGCAGAGATGTGCCCAAAATACCCAGCAAGGGTTTTTGGATGGAGTTCTTTCCATCTGCTGTTGCTACGATTTGTTCTTTCACCACCTAATTCCTCCCCCCTGTTTTTTTGGAGGCCTTCCTTTTCACTCCTGGCTCCTTGGGCACATCCTCCTGTGCTCTCTGGGCGCTGTCTCTCTCCTCCTCTTACCCACCCCAGCCTTGCATCCCCCTCTCTGCTCTGAATATTCTGATTTTCTGATTTTTGCACTGGAGGGATCCTCGGCAGATCCCAGCTGGCTGAATGTTATGCAGAGCAAAGGCCAAAGAGCTTGACCCGATTTAAGTAATTTGGTTTTAGCACCAGTTTGGATTTTGAGGGAGCGATTTCCCCGGGCAGCACAAACCAGGCCGTCTCCCTGTGTCCAGGCCTCGTTGCTGCCCTAGAAGGGCAGCTCCAGTGCATGTCTTTTCCTGCTTGGAAATCCCAAACACCATTTTTAGAAAGCCCTTTCATTTTATTTATTTTCCCTTCCTGGCACAGTGTCTGGGGATGGCAGAGCAGCGAGGAGCTGTGTGCTGCCTGCCTATTACCTCGGGTTTAAAGTGTCTCTTCCTATCAAATGCAGAGCAGGAGAAAGCAGAGCTTTCATGCATTCTTTTTTTTTTTTTTTTTCCCCTTCTTCCATCCGTTCTAAATTTATTTCCATGCCTTGCCGGTTTCAATCTGCATTTCCTGACCCTCTCACATCTCCAGTCACAGCCTGTGCTCCGAGCCTTCCCTCGGAGCTTGGATTGAAGTCAGGGGGGAGCATTGCTCTGGGCTTGGGAGGATATGATGGGGTTAAAGTGAAAGGCTTGGTTTTAACAGTATAATGTGTAACCCCATAATGACTTTAAATATTGATTATTTGAAGGCCATTAGTGCTTATTGTTAAAGAAAAGTCAATACTTTTTAAGCCTTGTGAACCATTTGTCTCCTGTTAAAGGACATATCAAATTTAGCAGCATGCAGTGCAAATCCCCTAATACCCTGCTCACAAGCCTCCAGCTGGCATATTAGGGGGGGAAAAAAGAAAAGGGGGTGGGGGGAGGAATATGCAGTAACACAGAACTGCTCTCTGCAAGGTAAGGACAAGGCTTATCAGATGTAATTGCCAGGGGCTAAATTCAGGTTCTCAGAATATGGGGCTGTAGTTCTGCCCTTTGAGTGGTGGAGGAAGGAATTTAATGGGGGGGTTGAAGGCTGGTACATACCTGGGAAAGGATGCAAGGATTAGTGTTGTGGTGCATGTCTGTCTAAAAGCACAGCAGCCTTTGTTAAAGTCTCTGGGGCTTTTTACTCCGGGGTTGCCAGTTCTTTTCCAGGCTGGCTTGGAAGCAATTGGCTGTATCTGCACCAGGCAGCCTGGGAGGGCTTCCCAGCTCCGTGCCAGGACACGACCTGGTGGTACTGCCTCCCTCCTGTGCCAGGTTTCCATGCCAAATACCAGGCAGATGGGCTGGGAGGGAGCAGTGGCAGGCTCCAACAGGTTCTGTGTCCAGAGGGTTGGGTTTTTGGGATGGCAGGAAGCGTCTGTCCACGGTCTCACACGGAGGTGAGATGCTCCTCAGGGCTCTGCAGCAGGAGCTGTGGAGCATCAGGATGCCTGCAGGGAGAAGAGTCCCTCGTTCCCTAAATATTTATGAGCATGCCTGCTTGCTTTTTGAGTTCTCTGCTGCTGGGCATTGATGCTGAGTGCCAGGGGGACAGCAGGAGGGGTGCAATGACCCCTTCGTGTTGGGCCATCTGCAGCCTCCCTTCTCTGACTTCAGGCCAGGCTCCAGGGGTGTGGTGGGGGACCTCGGGCTGCTCCTGTTCCTTTGGCCTCACCGGCAGTGCTTCCCTGTGTGAGTGTTTGGTGGGGAGCTCCAGGGCTGCTGAGAGGACAGCGCCGGGGTCTCTGCGTGCTGCTGTGTCAGGCAGGCACGGTGACAGTGTGTGTGAATGCACCTCCCTGAATTTCCCAAGCCTTTGGACTCATCCCCAGCGCGTGTTGGCGTGTGTGGAACAGAGGCAGCACCTGACTTCTCAGTCTGAAGTCGCTCCTGCTGTGCTCAGCCCTGTTCCTGCCGCTGGGATTGGGGCCGGGAGCTTTGTCCCTTTGCTGCATCCCCTTCCCCGGCCAGGCACCCCTCACTGGCCTGCCCAAACCAGGAGCTGATCCCGGGCCCCAGAAGGCAGCGAAGCTCCGAGGAGAGGACAGAGGGAACGAACTGCAGAGAGTCTGGAGCAGATGCGAATTCCTTAGGGATCAAAGTTATGTCCATTAGCACAACATTAAAGCATAAAAATAACCAGATAAACACCGGGCTGCCACCGAAGGGAGAACCTTTTATTTTCCAGTGCCCAGTCCTCATCCCCATCAAACACTCCACTTTCCTGGGCACAGATTCTGTGTTCTTGGCCAAAATCAAGAAGCTCCTTTGTTTTTAGAGTCCCGCCAGCACCTGGGGGCTTCGGGACCTCCTGCAGGATCCCCCTTTCCCGCATACGGACCGGGCGAGGCTGCTCGCCCGCCCGGCCACGGAACGGTTAAAAAAAGCGACTTGATTTCCCTAAATTGCTTCTTATAAAACGAACAGCACGTCTGCCCGGGCTCGTCTCCCCGTGATTACAGCTAATTACGATCGAGCGGACACCTCGGAGCCCCCGTCACGCCGCTTTAATTGTCCGTTATTCATCTGCGGCGCTGTCCGGGGTGGCAAAAAGCACTTGGCAGCCGCGGCGACCGGGGGGCCTCGGCTAATTGTGAGGCCTCGGGGATTAGGGCAGGTGATTACACACTTCATGGTGTAATTACATAAGCATCGCTTGGCTGCTGCCCCGGCTCGGAGCCGAAGGTCACGCGCTGCGTTACCTGAGATTAATTGGAGCTGCCAGCGGAGTGCGAGGTGCTGGCGGAGCGGTTATACGATTAGCATTAACATTTCAACAGCGACCGATCGATCCGTGGCTCTCCTCCAGACACAGCGAGCTGTGCAATTAGTTTAGAGGAGAGCTAGGGGAGGGAAGGAGGAGGAGGAGGAGGAGGAGGAGGAGGGAAGGAGAGCCGCGGAGGCAGCCAGGGGAAGGGAGAGAAGGGGGAGGCAGAAGACTGGTAAAGGGGTGAGCGAGAAGGAGGAATTTTGGAGGGGGGATCTCAGCCGTGGATCAGCGTTTTGTAGTGGCTGGTGCATAGAGTGGGGATAGAACCACATTGGGAAGATCTCTGCTTGCCCACCTCGCCTCCAAAGAGTCCTTATCTGTCTTTTCACGGTGTTGATCCCCCCCCATCCCAACCGCATGGGACAGCTGGGGGTCCTCATCCCACCCTCCCGTGTCATCCCCCCCTCTGAAATGGGCGGTGTGGTTGTGGGTATGGTCTGTTTGATGCAAAGTCACAGGCACCTTCTGGCCCCCTTTCTCTTGCCCTCCAGTCTCTCCCGAAGCAGATTTTACAGGGAGATACCGTAAAATGAAAATAAACGGCACAGCACTTGGCTTTGCCTCTGGATGCCCTGGTGAAGGTAATAATGTTGTAAGTGGCCATCAAAAGGAATTAAGAGACGTGCAGCCGGAAAGCAGATTTGCTTGCAGGCTCCCAGGGCAGATTTGACTAATGGAAGAGACCTTGGCTCTTACTCCCTTCCTGCCTTTTCTTTTTTTTTTCCTTTTTTTTTTTTTGCCTTTCCCCCCTGCTGCAAGCAAGTGCTACCTGCCTTGCTTGCTTCCAGGCATTGTCCCCTTTCCACCACTCAAACCTGCCTCCTCCAGCTGACTTATCCCACCTGGCATCTGCTCTGCCCATTCTGTCCAGCATCACCCACCTCTTCTCCAGCAGGACACCTTCCTGCTGGCCCCGTGGCACTTTCACATCCCTCTCTCCATCTCTCCTGTGTCTTTCTCTGCCTGACTCCCAGCTTTTCTGTCCACCCCTTGTCCCAGCTAGGACGGGGATTTTCTGCAAGGCGTGCCAGTGTTCCCTACAGATTTTTCCAGAACCCCTTTCCAGCTCCCAAAACACAGAATACCTTTTCAGTTGTCAGTAGATGAGATAGAAACCCAGGCTTGATAAGGGGAGAGGCAGATGCAGAATCTTCAGCCGTGCCTTTGCTAGTCCTGGGCAGCCAAAATCCCTTTCAGTCCAGCTGAAAGACCACAGAGGCGAAGGTGGGAAATATGTGTGACCTGTGGAGTCCTGTCTGCTTTCTTCCCCTTTTGATTCTGCTTCTTTTGGTTTCTTTCTCTGCATTTTAGAAGCTCTGCATATCAGAATTAGCCTCTGGCTCAGAATGCAGGTCACCTGCAGCCAGGATGTTCTTCCCTGAGCCTGGGGCCCTTTTGGATGGAGCCTCCAGGTTTTAAACGTGAACTTATTTTCTGATTTCTGCAGGGAGATATCCCACCCACCGCCTCTGCTCTCACCCCAGAACGCTCCCCACATTGCCCTGGGGCCCCACTTGAGACCTCCCTTCCTCGGGGTGCCTTCGGCGCTGTGCCAGACGCCAGGTGAGTGCACAGGTAACTCTTGTGGGCAGCCAGGGCGGGCTGAGACAAACTGTCCTCCACCCAAACAGCCCAGACACACTTTCTGTGTCTCCCCCTGACTGCTGTGCTTGACTTCAGCCTGGTTTTGCAGCAATAGCAGCAGTTGCCTTGGCTCTTCTTTCCTTTAGTCCCCACCAGCCTCCCTGGTGTTTCAACCCATGGGCTCCAGAGCAGAAAGCAGCACTCAGTTGCCTTTTTCTTTCTGAGCTAGCCCTCTGGAGAGCTAGCCTGAGGTAGCAAAGAGTCAGTGCTGAGATGAGTAAGCCCAGGGTGCTGTTCTCCCTGTCCCCAGGTTACGGGTTCCTCCAGCCGGCACAAGCGGAGATGTTTGCACGGCAGCAGGAGATGCTACGAAAGCAAAACCTGGCCAGGTAAGAGTGGGAGAGGGATGGATTTTTCCTTCCCTTTTCCAGCAGCAGGCAGAGTAAGGTGGGGTGCTGTGTGGGGTGAGCTGTGCCCAGGTGACAGAGCAGTGTCCAACTGAGACCAGTGGAAACAGCGTGCGGGTGTGGAGGGAACACTTTGATGAGTACAAATCCCACCCGTGCGACTGGAGCACAGATAAAGTGGGACTGACACACAAAATCCTCCCGGAAGGAAGAAAAGGCATGTTCATCCTGTGATTTTGGATCTTGTCCCATGGAATGCATAATGGCATAAGGCAAAACCAAACACTGTCTTCTCGAACAAGATTGGCAGCATCACGTTATTTAACACGACATTAAGCCCAGGCCAAGACATGAAAGTAGCAAGACCTAATACAGGTCATTACTGCGCTATGATGATCACACATTGCAGAGGAAAGTCCAAGCAAAAAGTCTGGCACTCTGTGACGGGACATTTAAAAATAACTCCATTTGGAAAGGGATCTGGTTTGGAATATTTTCGCACTTAACTGCACATTTGTTCACTAGATCAGAACCTGCAGTGGAGAGAGGAAAAATTACCAGAAGAAAATTCACACAGTCACAAGAATGTTAATATTTGCTCTGAAAGATCCCCTAACCCTGTCCTGAACCTCTCCACTGCCCACCCCGCCTGCACTGTGGTTTTCTTAGCACTGAGGGCACCCTTAAATGACGTGGCTGAGGCGAACCAGCAAGGTGGCCCAGCGAGGACGGGGGTAGTTACTGCCAACATTCCTTGTGCCTCTCCCCACCCAGGCTGGAGATGTCGGCCGAGATCATCCGCCAGAAGGAGCTGGAGAACCTCCACCGCCAGAGGCTGCTGGCCGGCGACCCCCTGAGCCTGCACCCGGGGCTGCCCCCGGACCACCCGGCCCTGCGCAACGTGCACGACATCCCCGAGGGCCACCCGCTGCGGGAGGAGCTGTCCCGGCGGAATGCCATGCTGGTGCTGCGGCACAACAACACCCCGCTGCTGTCCCTCAACCCCGCCGTGCCCGGCGCCAGCTCCTCCACGCCGCCCAAGGAGCAGCCCCGGCGGGGCAGCCGGAAAACCGCGGGGCAGCACCGCGCCGAGCCGCAGGGCGTGGGCGAGGCCAAGGAGCCGGCGGAGCCGCGGGCGCGGGACGGGGCCCCGGACTGTAACGACGAGGAGATGAAGGACTCGGAGAGCGACGCGGACGTGAGCGACGAGAAGCCCGAGAGCCTGAAGGCCGAGGGCGGTGGCGGCGGCTCGGCCGCGGAGCTCAAGGAGTGCAAGGAGGCGAGCAAGGCGTGCGAGGGGGCCAAGGAGATGGGCGAGGCGGGCGCTGCCCAGAATGCCCCGTGCAGCTCCTCGAGCGCAGAGTCCCCCAGCCACCTGCTCGGCCCCGGGATCAACAAGGCCGAGGTGAAGTACCTCCCGCCGGCCTCCATCCCGCCGCCTCAGCCGCTGCCCTTCGGGTTCCCCTACACCATGAGCCCCTACTTCCATGCAGGTGAGTGCTCGAGGGATGTGTTTCGCGGTCCCAAAAGCGGGGCTCTTCCACCCCTCCCCTCATTCCGCAGTGTGGTTGTGGTTGCTTTCTCAACTTTCCGTCGGTTTTTTTCTAAAGGAAAATTTCTTTTCGTGTTAAATGTTGGAATGGGATGCCCGGGGAGGTGTTGGAGTGCCCATCCCTGAAGGTGTTCAAGGAGCGTGGCACTCAGTGTTCTGGTCTGGTTGACAAGGTGGGGATTGGTCAGAGGTTGGACTCGATGGTCTTGGGGGTCTTCTCCAACCTCAGTGATTCTGTGCTTCTCTGCAAGGAACCAAAAACTTTCTTTTAATTAATATGAAGGACTCCGTTTGCAGTGAAGCAAACCAAGGGCCATAAAGAGGGGCCAGCAGGGACAGAGTGAGTCCCGAGTACATGAGAAGGGAAATCCCCAAAATGATGGACTGAGGGATCTTGCAGTTGCTTGGGCCTCCTTTGGCACCTTGGACAGACACCAGTAAATTACAGAGAGCTTCAGGGAGAGGCAGCAACAGTCATTAATGGCTGCAGGGTGCTGTCAGAGTACCCACTGCTGTGCCCCTTTTCCAGGGCAGAGGTGGATGGGCTCTTTCCCCTGCCTGTGGTGTATTACTCAGTGTCACAGGCACTGGGACAGCCGGATTGGTGCCTGTTGGGTGGGACAGGCAGGCAGGGAAGTCACTGTGGTCCCCAGTGGCACAGTCCCTCGGGCAGCAGGAGCAGGGTGGTGCGAAGGGGGGTCTCAAAGCCTGGTAGCTGGGCAGGGCAGGGTGGCAGCCCCGCCAGCCTAGCCAGGAGCCAAAATCTGCCTCAGCTAATTACTTGACTGAGCGATTAGCAGGCGGTGGGACCTCCTGCCTCACCGAGGAGGGAGAGGGAGGGGGACGTGGCATGTGGGTCGCCGGGGCTGCCTGAGCAGCCGTGGCTGTGGCCGCGGCTGCCCATCACTCATTAGAGCTGCCTCCCAACCAGGAGGGGAGGAAGCGATTTTTTTCTATGACAGGCAGGTGGCCAAGATGATAAATATTCCTGCTGCCTTGGGCTGCTGAGGCTTCCTCGCAGGAGCCTTTTTCTCCCGGCCATTAAAAAGGGGAAAGGCGCAGCTCCGCGGTGCTCGCGGCTTGTGTGAGGCTCTGCAGGGAGGCCTGGGATGTGGATGGGTTTCCTCCCTCCCCCAGCAATGTGTGAGTTACTGTAATAGGCCATTTATTATTATCACTTCGAATTTATATCACCATCGTGTCTTGGGGCCCCGGCACAGATCAGGGCTGTGTTTCACTGCCCGGTTTTCAGGCAGTTCTGATTTGTGGAGCCTGTTCCAGGGCTGTAGGTCTTTTCCTGAGGGCTCTTTGGCTTCTGGCTGGCTTCACATGGTGCTGGGGCTGTTAATTCTGCCTGCCTGTGGGGTTTAGGCCCCGTTGTGCTCAGCTCCATAGCAAAACCTCTCACCTGAAAAGCCTTGGGAAGACAGGGCGCCTTGTTCGATGCAGCACCACGGGTCGATGGGGGAGCTGGGAGCCCAGCAACTGAAATATTGAGGGTTTATATCGATCCAAGAGCTGCAGCGATCCTGGGCTGTGTGTCGGTGGAAAAATGTGTTCCTGTGGCCCTTGGGGAGCACAGAGCACCTGAGGACAGACAGACTGAACTGAGCCCACCTCTCCCTGGCGCCAGACAATTCCTGTAACCCTGTTCTGCACAAAGACTGCTCTTTAGGCCTGGAGGGATGTGATATTGTGCCCCACACCAGAGACTGGAATGATAAAGTGACCACCTAACCGAGGCAGGTAAGGTGGCAGGCCAAGAGGAAGAGCCCAGAGGGAGGAGAGGAGAGGGGAGAAGCATCCAGCTGAAAAGGACCCCTGAGTTTCAGGCAGTTCCTCTGGTCTTCCAGCAAAGGGAGGCTCCCCTGGAGGCAGAGAGCTGTTTTCTGTCCCTGCTGGGAAAGCATATCGATGAGGCAGCCGGAGCCGGGTCGATTCCCTGAGCTGCCTTCTGGGGATCTGGCGGCTGCTCGATGACCTCATCTCGTCAAGGTTTCAGCAGCCTTGCTCCCCTCCTCCTCCTCCTCCTCCTCCTCCTCCCGCCGCCCTCCTCCAGCCCCGTCCTCTGGAAAAGGTGAAGGATGGAGTGTGCAGGAGGCTAAAATCCTTCTATTGATCTGTAGTCTGGAGAGCAATTAACGCAAGCCTTGCCGTGCTGCTCCGTGACCTCTCCGGTGGGAAGGAGGGAGGGGGTGCAGGCATAGGGAGAGGGGTTAGGGAGTGGTAGCAAAACTGATTAAAGCCATAGGTGGGCTGGCTTCCATGGGGGTTCTCTTTGTGTCTCCCAGCTGGCACCTGGATTGTCTCCTGCGATGGCCCGGCTGGTGGATCTGCAGCAGAGCTTTCCCTGGCTGGGATGGCCAGAAGGTTTGCTCCCCACGACCCCCTCCAGCCTTTGGCTTGTGTTCCTGGAGCAGCTGGATATCAGGAGGAGGGAGGGGAAATTATAAATGGATTGCAGCATGGGTGGTGAGGGCTTTTACGTGGACACCTGTCCACGCGACACCGGCCTGGGACGATGGATTCTTTTCAGTCCCCACACGCTGGGCCCCATCTGGTGAAATGCTCTGTAATCCATTACCAGCCTCTTGGACCATCATTTATCATGGGGCGAGACAGAGGAGGCCTGGCAGGGAATGGATGCTGCCCTTTATGCCTCCTCGCAGCCCCGCAGCATCCAGTGACATGTCATTATTATAATCGAAGGTGCGTCCCTTCCAGCCACTTGGCACCTATTTGTTATCATTCCCCGAGCTGCCAGAGCAGGGTGAGTGGATGCAGCCACGCACAGGGATGGAGCAGACGGTGCATTATCCTCCCAGGGAGGGACAGGAGGAAGGACAGGAGCCCTTCTGCTCTAGGGACTGTAAAATTGGAAGGGACCAGTGTGCTGAGGGCTGGACTTGTACTCGTTGCAAACCAGATGCTCGCTGAGGTGGAGGGACCACTGTAATCAGCTACAGAAATCCTTCCCAGGGTTATTCCTGCTGGATTCAGAGCTGAGGTGGGAGCAGAAGGGCAGGGGGGACACCTGGACACCAGGCTCTACAACCCTGACTGCAGGGTGCTGAGTACTCACAACAGAACTGAGCCTTTGGAGGTACTACTCACTCTTTGATTTTTGGTAGTGACAGGGGTGTTTTGCCACTAATCTTGATGGAAATAGGTTTCCACCCTCTAGATTTTACATTCTGTGGCACAGAAATTGCTAATAGGCCAGAACCCAAAGTATTGGTATTTACCTTCCCCCTCCCAAGAATATTTCCACCAGTAATTCCCTGGTATAAATGGGAAGGGAAAACAAACTCTGTGAGATAAATATTTTGGCTGTATTATACTTCTCTGTGTGTGGGTACGTGGAAAATATTCCCATGCAGTGGGTTCTGCCTTATCCTCAGTCTGGACACAGCAGGCTCTGTGTGTGTTTGTCTGTGGGCATCCTGACCTCTCCCTTCCTTCTTCTGGGGCAGGAAGAGACAAAGGAGAGAAAACCACAGAGGAGAGAGGCTGCTGTAGGAACAGGAGTTGTTGGCCCAGCTCTGCTGGCTGTGCCAGTAATGCTGAAAGTGATCCCTCATCCAGTGGGGTTCCAGGATTGCAGGCACGTGTGTAGGAGAGGGATCCCTCCTCCCTGCCAGCTGTGGGAGCAACATCTGGGCTGAATCCCTGCCCATGCTGGTGGGGACTGACCAGCCCCTCTCTGTGCTTAAACCCTGAGCATAGTTCAGGCTGGCTGGTGACTGGAGGGCTCGTTCCCAAGCACTGTGTTGCTGGAATTCAGTCCTTGGCCTGCTTTTGGAATAAGGAAGTACCTAATTTTGAAGCAGTTGGCTGCTGCAGTCGGATCCCCTCGGAGACGCTCTGGCTGCAGATGGAGGTGTCTCGCCCGAGCATTGACTGTGCCTGGAATAATCCTGAGTTCAGTTTCCCTTCCTCTGTTTACCAGGCTGCAGCCACTCTTTTGGAGAAAGAGAATTTCCCTCCACTCTACGAAAGAAAAATCCTCCTCCTCGAAAATGACAAAAAGTGGGGGGAAAAAAAAAGCCCTCGGCCACCTGAGCATTCTGTGAATTTTAACACAGGCAGCTCTGAGTGTGTCTCTAGAAGGTGGAATGTGATAGGCACGGGAATGAAGGCTCGTGTCCATCTGTCTGTCTGGTAGCTGGGGGTGACAAGGGGAAGGACAGTGCTGCTGGCCCTTCTTCCTTCACCTCCTGTGCTGATGGGCGCCTGCTCCCAGGAAAGCTGGTGGTTTTCTGTTATCGGGCACACAAAAGTGTTTGAAGCTTTTTCCAGCTGGAAAAAGAAGGTGTGAAGAGAGTGAGGAGCTTCCCTGGGCTCTGGCAGGGCGCAGGGTGGTGAGGAGGGAGCAGTGGGCTCTCCCTGCTTGGCACACCACAGCTGGGCAGAGCCATCCCGGGAGCAGCAAAGGGCACCTTGTGAGCCTGAGCTGAGGCTGGAGGGGAGGGAACCTGTGCCCGTGGGAAGGAAAGGATGGGAAGGAGGCGTGAAAAGTCTGGTGATTGCCCACAGTGAGCACCCTGAGAGTCCTGGGCTGGTGCAAAGTGCTGGCAAGGAGGCCTGCAGAGATGTGGCCGAGTCCCTGAGGCAGGAGGGGAGAGAGGGATGGGCAGAGCTGGCAGAGCCAGCAGCTGTCACAGGATCCCTGGCTGGGGTGAGGTTGGAGGGACTACTGGAGCTCACTTGGTCCAACCTCCCTGCCCAAGCAACATTTCCTAAGAGCACATTACTGTGGATTGTGCTGAGACTCTTGAGGAGCTCCTGCCTCTCCCTGTGGCTCCAGCCAAGACATTCTGGCACTGGAGCTGGCAATGCTCTGCCTGCACTGGCTGTGTGTGCAGGGGGAGACATGGACTCACCCCAAGAGACACGGACTCACCCCAAGTTTTGGGAGCTGTGACTGGTCCCGGCGGCCCCTCTCTGTGAGGCTGCTGGTCCTGGAGCAGTCAGTGCCCTGGGGGATGCACATGGACTACCCAGAGGTGTGCAGGGGGACAGGGGGCCGTGTTTTTGGGTGAAGCAGATGGTGCTGTCACCTTCCCAAGAGGTGGTAGTGGTGGTGCAGCTCTGGGAATGGCACAGAGGGTGAGGCTGGGAAGGGAAGCAGGAAGCTGGGAGCGGAAATGGAGTGGAAATGATTACATAGTGTCTGCCTGCTCCTCGGGCAGGCTGCTGTTGTTTTAAAAGCATCTTATTGGCATGATAACTTCCTGTGGAGATCCCGTGCTTTTCCTGTTCCCTTGGATGTGCTGGGGGCTTTGCCAGCTGGAGCTGTGGTGTGTGGCTCTGCTCCTTCTGCACCTCTGTCTCTGCCTGTTCCCTCTGACCTGGTGTATTCCCCAGGGAATTGGACACTCTGGGTCCTCTGGGCCTGTGCTCCCCACCAGACTTTGTTGGACCCTGCTTTACCTTGCCATTCCCTGGGGAAGGACTGTCCCGCCTGCTGTGGGCAGGGATGAGGGAGTTGCTGCAGGAGGTTACAACCACAGCCCTGTTCAAATCCATCAGGGAAAAACCTTAAGCCCCACAGGACAGATAATTTTGTCATGACAGACACCTGGGAGGAATAATTTTTTTCTGGTAGTGTCCTTCTTCAAGCCCTGAAGCAGAACAGTTCATACCCTCATAAACTCTCTACCTGATAATCCTGGGTGTTCACATCCCTGTAAATGTCCTTGTTTTCTCCTGGTCCGAATATCACACAGCAGTGAGTTCCACAGATTAATAATGGCTTCCCCCCCCTCATTGCACCCCAAAATGGTGTTTTCTGGAATTTGGTTTGTTCATTACCCATCCCCACACTTTCCCCTTTACACCTAGAGGAGATATGAGTTACCTGGCTGGTGTTTCTCTCCCCATTTTCATTCCCTGTGCCTCTCCAGCTCCTCTCCGGGTCCCGTTTGGGTTCCTCCCTGCACACACATCCCGTGCAGATATGAGTTACCTGGCTGGTAACTCATGACAGGCCCCTGGGAGAAATGTTTTTTTCTGGCAGTGTCCTTCTTCATGCCCTGAAACAGAACAGTTCACACCCCTCATAAACTCTCTGCCTGATAATCCTGGATAATCCTCTCCCCATTTTCATTCCCTGTGCCTCTCCAGCTCCTCTCCGAGTCCCATTTGGATTCCTCCCTGCACGCACATCCTGTGCAGATCTGAGTTACCTGGCTGGTGTTTCTTGGTGTTTCTCTCCCCATTTTTATTCCCTGTGCCTCTCCAGCTCCTCTCCGAGTCCCGTGTGGATTCCTCCCTGCACACACATCCCGTACAGATCTGAGTTACCTGGCTGGTGTTTCTCTCCCCATTTTCATTCCCTGTGCCTCTCCAGCTCCTCTCCAGGTCCCGTTTGGGTTCCTCCCTGCACACACATCCCATGCTGTCAGGCACTGGTGATGCAGGGCGGTTGTTCCTCCTCCACCCTTTTGGAGCCCATCACCTTCCTCGGTGCTGACAGGGCTGGGACCTGAACTGCTGTAGCGTTTCGGAGCATTGACACCTCGGCTCTGCCCGAGCCCTGCTGTCTGTGCCCTGTCAGGGGGGTGGCAGGGCCAGCCCGTCACCCGTCACATGCCTGGCCGGGAGAGGTGGATGCCCAGCAGATCCCGAGGCCAGGGCAGAGCCACCCCTTGGATATTTCAGGCTGGGCCGGGTTGGAAAGGAGCACTTGGAAGGAGCACGAGTTCCACAGTGATTCCCACTGCACCAGGGGCCTTTTGTCATTCCAAGCACGTCAGGGCTGGGGGAGAGGAACCCACAGGGCAAGGCAGAGTTTTCCGCTTTGTGGTGCCTGTGGAGAAACACTCCTTCAGGGTTTTTGTTTTTTTTTAATTCTCTTTCCTCCCCTCCCCCCTATTTTTCTCCCCCTGCAGCTGAAGAACATTAAACACATGAAATGCATTAGCTCGGATTTTTCCTTCCCCCCCTGCCCCCCTCCCTCAGCCAGGGACCTCCAGGAGGAAGAGGCCTATGAATTGACCCTGCCCAGTGCTTTAATTGACAGGTCATTAAAGATGAATGTGTGGCTAGAGAAAAATATTCAGATTGCAGGCTAGTTGTTGTCCGTGTGGGATTTTAATGATTTATGTTTCTTTCTCCTCCCCTCTTTCCTACTCCCTTCCCCCCCCCTCCCCATCCTCCTCGACTCCAAACAATCCAGGCACCATGGGAGGTCTGTTTCTGGATGGTGAGGAGAGCCCTGCACTGGAAGACATCAGCAAATGGACGGTGGAGGATGTTTGCAGCTTTGTGTCCAACTTGTCTGGCTGCACCGAGTACACTCAGGTAAATCTGAGCGGGCTCAAGAACGTCCCTGGAGGGGGAACACCCTCCCTGTGAGCCCCCCTTCTCTCCCTCCCGTTTGTGCCTGTTGTACTTGGACTGTCCCTCCCAGGAGGTTCATCTCAGAGCCCTGCAGGGCTTGGAAGCTGTGTGGGGTTTTTTTTCCGAGGGGATTGCTAAACTTGCTGCTGGCGAAGAGCCTGAAGAAGGTGTGTGATGAGTCTTGTAGATGGACAGAAACAAGGAGGGAGTTCGGTGGAAGAGGATGGGATTAGGGGCAAGGTTAGGAGTGAACACCTGAGCTCAGGTTGATCGTGGTCAGTGGCTTTGTGTCACTGATCTCTCACCCCCATCTCGTGCTTTTAGGAGCTGCTGATGCTCCGTGGTGGAGCTGGACACAGCAGTGGCTTTGTGTGGGGTGGGTACCAGGGGGTCCCCAAATTGGGGTGGGCAGCCCATGGTGCCATCCAGCCAGGCAGAAGGTGCTGTGTTCTGCTCTCTTGCTGCACCCAGCACACTGTGGGGTCACAGTGGGGTTGGGAGGGATCCTGTGCCTGCACAGGCATCAGAGTAACCTCAGTGGTGATTTTTAAGCTCATTACAGCAGAGTTGAAACATCCAGCAGCAGTGGGGTGTCCATAGAGCCTGCTCAGTGTGGGATTGAGAGGTGCACTATAAAAACCAACCCTCTGTGTTTTTTTGCCTCTGCATCTGCCTGAGGCCGTGATCAATGTGCCATTGAGGGATGCTCCAAGGGCACGGATTCCTGGGCAGCTTGGAAAAGGATGTAGTGTGCTAAGGGAGGGACTGGAAGCGGCAGAGATAGAGAGGCAAAGGGCCAGAGTTCAGGACAATCCAGCCTTTCAGCAGGGGCTGAGAACGGGTCTGGAAAGGGAGGATGGAGAGCAGGAGCTGAGCTTTCTGGATGTGCCTCTTCAGCAGAGGAGCTGCCCTGGCTGACAGCTGAGGGGTGCAGGGCTGTGCTGTGACATCCAGGCTGGCTGAAATGGGGTTTCTGAAAGTCTGCTGCCCCTCCTTTGGCCTGTGCTGTCTGTCCCTCTGTGCTGCACTGGTCCAGTGTCCTCTCCCGGAGCTGAGCCCATCCCCTGGCATTTATTTTGGGAAAGGTGAAACTTGGCACCTCTGTGCCTGCTGGGACCCCTGACAGGGGAGCAGTGTGTGTATCTGCCTGTAGGGAGATGATTCCCTGTAGGTTATGCTGATTTAGTGCCATGGGGAAAGGTGCATCCCCAGAGGGGAAGCAGAACCTGGGAACTGGCCCCCACCTCCCTCTCCTTGCACAGGTGATGGATAATGGGATTTCAGTCTCAAGTCTGTCCTTCCCTGCCCCCAAACCATGATGTTAATCCCATCACAACATGCTTCCTTAAAACCACCTGGAAAACCAGTGCTGCTCTGGAGCAAACAGCTGTGCTGGGGGGGAGAGGAAGGGAAGGGAATGTTTGTTCTGGAGATGGGGGACACATAACCATCCCCAAGTGGAGTGACGGGGATTTGGGTTGTGCTCAGGAGTGGTCAGGGTGAGTGGGTGCGTGGGAGAGAGAAGGGTCAGGTTCTGATTGTGGCAAGAGGGAGAGAAAGAACTCTGGATAAAAAGAGGTGGTGGATGGATGATGGATGTTTATGGGAGCCTCTGTGTGTGCAGAGGGGAGTTCAGGAGCTGGGTTTGGCGAGGATGAGGGTGGGTTCACCAGTGTGCATGTGTGGGCTGCAGAGTGCGTTGTTGAGAGCTCCACCAAAAGGCTCTAAAACCAAAATACACAGCCCCTTGCATTCCCTGTTACCCCCTACCCCTCTGGAGTGCCCTTCCACTGGTGGTGGTGTGGTTTATCTGCATTCCTGTGCTGGGGAAGGACAGCTGGAGTTGCCTGGATGCTTCTGAACCAGGCCAGTAGGAAACGTGCAGGAATCTTCTACACTCCCCTTCCCTCCTCACAGCAGGATCATCCATTTACACCTTCCACGCCATCCTAGTGGCACCAGAGGGGGAGGAATCAAGAGCTGAGGTTCAGCAATCTTCCCAGTGCATTCCAAACAAAATGTTTGGAATTTTGGAGATGGGATGGAGATGGAATTTTGGAATGGAGATGGGAGCTGCTGCAAACACCCCCTGGCCATGTCCTTGCTTCAAGCAGGAGTTTGAGGCTTTAAGAGATGATGTTTTTCATGCCACGGTTGTGTGTTTAATGTTTTTTTTTTACTGTGTGAAAATGCCCGTGCTCAGGGGTGACCCAGCTCCCTGGCTCCGAGCTGCAGAGCTGCCTTGTGTTCCCCTTCTCCAAACCCACAGCTGCTGGGGAGGTCTGGCACTGCTCTCTGCAGGCTGCTCCCGCCAGCAAAACCCTGCAAGGTTTGGGTGGAATGCTGTGCATTTAGAAACATGTTTCAGGCAAAACAAGGAAAAAACTTCAGCAAAAAATAAGAAGTCTCCACGGCCTGGACGGTGTTCAGCTTTGTCTCTGCTGTGGATCTGGGGGACACCCCAGGGGATGCTTTTCCCAAGTTTAAGGCTTTTTGTGGAGTGTTTTAGTGCCGAGCGAAGGGAGGGTTTTGGCTCCTGGCCACACTGGCTGCAGAGGAAGGGAAAAGAAACTGGTGTAGTAAGTTTTGCTGGGTCAAAAAGCAGCAGCTGGGTCAAAAAGCCCAGCCCTGAGCAGCTTTGCTGGAGGAGTCCAGCAATAAAAACCCACTTGGCTCCAGCAGCCACTGCCAGTCTCCAAAGGGACGGCTCCAGGCTGTGGTTCTGCTGCTGGAAAAGAAGATATTGGGGTAAATTTAACCCCCTCTCCCGTAGTGGTTAGTAATAGTAACACTGTGTGTGAGCCATTGCAGGAGGAGAGGGCAGGATCAGCCCCACAGTTTATTTGGGGGAGTGTCAAATATGAGCTGGAGTGGCAAAAACGCTGAGGAGGTGTTGAGGCAGGGAGGAAAGGCAGGTGGGGTAGCAAGGAAAACAGGGAGCTGAGTGACACCTCCCAGAGAGGCAAGGGGAGCTGGTGGCTGAATTACCAAATTTACTCTTGAAATGGAGCCCGTTGGTGCCAATAAACACCCCGAGGAGGTTGGTGGGAGCATCCCCTGCACCGTGTGTGAAGGATGGAGCAATAAGACCACACAGCCAGACCTTAACCTTGCTAACAGGGCACAGATTAGGTGGGAAACTCTTGCATGACCCTGTCATTTGGGATAGATGGAGGCAAAACGAAGGTTGTTGTGGGTTTTTTTTCTTTAATAACGTGTTAAAATGGTGCAGTTGTGCATGGCTGGAGGTATTAATGTGTTGATATGAAACTGCTGTTTTCTGAGACTGTACCAGCCCTGTTGCCATTTGTGTGTGCACATCACCAGGTCCTGCTTCCCTCAGCTAATGGGGAGAGGGGGAAGAGCCCTGAGAAGTTTAATGGCACTGTCTAAAGGCCAGGTCACCCTGTAGGATCCTGCCATGCTCCATCAGCACCGTGGCACTGAGATATTTATCAGTATCAATACTATTTATTAGTATTTATACTAATAAATATTGCAAGATTTATTAGTGTTGGGGGGAAAAAAAGCAAGGGCTGAATGTTAAAACAGACCAGTGAGGAGGGATCATCCTCCCTGGATGTTCTGGGAGCAGGATGGGCTGCACTCTCCAGGCTGCTTGAGTGTTCTAGGGATGGTGGGAATACCAGAGAGGCAGAGGAGGAGACAGGAAAAGAAAGTACAGAAGTGTTGCACGTGAATCCATCTAACCTGCAGCATGTGCTCCACAGATCTGTTTATGTATTTTGCCTGGAGACTGTTTGGGAATTAGCAGCTTTGAGAAGGAAATGCATGAGCAGTCCATCCCTCCTTTTCCATGGCATTTGCCTCAGTGAGGACTGCAAATATTTTTGGAGTCTGCTGGGTCAACTTTTCCCCAATATCCACACAAAGTGTGAGTGACCTAGGATTTACCAAAATTTAATTTTTTCCCCCCTGTTTTCTGCCCTTTTTGGAGGTGGGACCCCGGGCATGTCACTCTCCTCAAATCTGCTGTCAAACACTGATAGAGTTGCACTTGGGGCAGCTGGTTTGGGTGCTAAACCTGGGATGAAAAACTTCACACCCCGTTCTGACGTTAAGAAAAAAAAATAAAGGGGGGGGGGAAATGATTGTTTTATATAAACTGGCCCAACCAGCCCTAATTCCCATTCCCACGTGTGTCTCCTTTTGCTCACTGGCTCCTGGCTGTGGATGCAGGACTGTGAACAACCTCTGGTGTATAAATATGGACTGACCTCACTCTTGGAGTTCACCTTTCCCACAGAGCCCTTCTGTGCAAGGGTAGGACAAGGGCACCAGGTGTGTCAGTGGCATTTCTGAGCCTGGGCTGTGCTTTCCCTCCAGGTATTTCGAGAGCAGGCCATTGATGGAGAGACCCTGCCCCTCCTGACAGAAGAGCACTTACTGAACAACATGGGGCTGAAACTCGGGCCTGCCCTGAAGATAAGGTCACAGGTAGGAAAACCTCCTCTGTAGCAGCACATGGCATGGTCTGAAATTGTCCCCCTCACCAGAATGGGGCTGTCAAGAGACGTGGTTTACTGAATATAATTTATTAAGCAGTAATTTATTCTGTGATTCTGTCTCAAGAAAGCTCGATCTTGTCCTTCCAAAATGTTCCATGTCCTCACCCAAATCCAGTCACAGCTGTTTCAAGGATGAAACCACGGGCAGAGTTCAGTGCCCAGGGGCAGAAGCAAATAGTTCAGGAGGGAATAACAGGGATGCAGCAGGAAACTCCTAAAATGGAGTGGTTCCTGCTGGAAAAAACACATCAGGTTGTTCCCATAAATACCAGCCAGGAAGGAAGAACAGCTGTGAACAGGTGAGGGAAGGGAGGTGGTTTCACATCGGCTGAGCCTGAAAATAGTCATCCCCAAAGTACCTAAAGAGGGATGTAAAGCCATCTCAGGAATCAGTTGTCTTTTCCTAGGCTGGATTAGGTCCTTTTGCTGCTCCTTTTCCCTGTACCTGGGTGAATCCTGGCAGTTCTCCTTTTGAGTGAGGCCTGAAGCACATTGAATGTGTCTCAGCTGTTGTGCCTTTCCCTCCCCAAGGAATAATGACCCAGCTCTTGCCCTTCTCTGCTGTGCCAGGAACAGCCCTCTCTAACAATTTTATCTCTTGCCAGTCATAACTTACTGGTCCTGCTTATTTGGCTGCACTGGAAGTGGAAATTATATTGGTTGCACTAGTCCAGTTCTCTTTTAGGGGACTGTATTTCCTCCCCAGCACAGACTGGTTTGCTGTTGTGCCCTTTTAGCCGTGTTTCTTCTCAAAATACCTTTTTTTCCCCCCTATGATTTGGTTCCCAAGTCCCTGCCCGTAGAGCTTTGCTGTCCTAAAATGACTTTGCTCTTCTCCTGCCTCCCTCACAGCCAGCCATGGGGATTCCATTCCAGTTGCCTCCACTTCCCCTCAGTGGGACTCAAATCCAGGAGAACATCTCCGCTGGCTTCATTTTTTTTTTTCCCTTTAATGTTCAGAAAAAAAAAATCCCTTGTGACACATGTAAAGCACGGGCTGTGCTGTGTATTCCCTAGGGAATCGTGTCATGGAAGTGACTGTCATGTGTACAGGGACACTCACAGTTCTGGCACAGGTCCCCAAACCCACAGGGCTGTACACTGGTTATATTATGTTAAAACAATAAGAGCAACTTTACTACTTTCCCTCCAGCCCTCCCTGTTTATGAGGGGGCTAATAAAAAGGTTCTGTGGGCAATTGTTCCCCGTGGGTCGATTCAGGAGGAAATAAAACTCTTTCTGCTTCTTAAAAAACAAGGGGACGTCAAACAGCTCACAGGCATTCCGAGATGGGGCTTGGGGTGGGGGGAATATGAGATATGGGCTGGAAGCAGAAAAACCAGCTTCAATTTAATCAATAGTGTTTAAGGGTCTATAATAAGGCAAGGCTGGGGGGAGGTAAGTGGGGAGCACTGATGCTGCTCCCTGAATAATGTGGCAGTTGTCTGGGTGGAACAGCAGCCTGTGTTTCTGTTTAAGCTCAAATGTGAACCAGCTGTTGGAGGTGCTGGAAGGCTGTGGGGCCTTTGGCCCTTGCTGGGAGGCAAGAACTGCTGCAGGAGAGCTGGCTGGGGCTGCAGGAGGGAGAGGTGCAGGCTGAGAGCTGCCTGGGCCAGGAACAGCAGCCTCCCTGCAGCAGGATTTTTGTTCTGCCTCTCCCTGTGTTGGTCCCAGCCCCCCCTTTTAGGAGCAATTCCCGCTCTTCCAAACTGGACATGGTGTGCTGTGCCATCAGCAGGAGAGCACTGTCCTATCAAACTGTCCACCCTGTTAATGCAAGCAAGGACTGAAGAGGTTGGGATCAGTCAGCCCTTCTCTCCTGGGGGTGTCCCAGCACACCTTCAGCCTGGAAAATGTGGCCTCAGGGCAGACCTTGTGGCTCCAGCAGTACTTGGTGCCACACACCACAGTGGCTAGTCAAACAGAGCTGGAGAGCATAGGACAGAGCCCTGCAGGAATAGAGGAAACCTCTGGTTTGTCTTCTAGGTGGACTGGGAATGGTGGTGCTTCATTCCAGTGATGCAACCACAGAATAGTTTGGGTTGGAAGGGACACTAAAGCTCATCTGATTCCAACCTCTCTGCCACAGGCAGGGACACCTTCCACTAGACCAGGTTGCTCAGAGCCTGGAACACATCCAGGGATGATGATGGAGCATCCACAGCTTCTCTGGGCAGCCTACCTCTTTATTTGCAGTTTGGATACAAAACCTGACCTTACGTGTGAACACCCGCGGGATTCTCTAGACCGTTCGTGCGCGTTTTCGCCCTCCTGCATTTATCCCACATCCTTTTTTTTCCCATTTCCTTTATTAACAGGTGGCCAAGCGAGTGGGCAGAGTGCTGTACATGGCAGGCTTCCCCATGGCTTTCCCCCTGCAGCCCCCCGGGCTGAGGCCCCCGGAGCGGGACGTGCCCACGGCTGAGCTCCGGCCGGCATCCACGGGCAGCGTGGCCTCTCCCTTCGGGAGCGGGGTCCCTTCCTCTGCCAGCCGGGGCTCCCCAAAGCAGGAAAACGGGAATCCTTCCCTCCTCCCCGGGCTCAATGACACCACGAAACCTCCGTCCTAACTGCGGGATGCTTCTGGGACTTTGGGGATCCAGCGGGACGAGCCGAAGGATGACGCCAGAGCCTCCCCCCCCGCCCGCAGCGCGAGACGCAGGAGTGAGGGAGGAAAAGGGAGGTTTTGATTTGGTTTTTTGGTTTTTTTTGGGACGAATTTGCTTTTTTTTTTTTGGTTTGGGAAAATAATAAAAAAAAACAAACGGCAGAAGATTTCAAAAAAAAAAAAAAAAGGGAAGGAAAGAAAATGATCCAAAGATGTCCTGAGACAACGCGAGTGAAGAGAAGGATTCTGGAGGATGGCTGCAGCATTCCTGTTCCCTTTCTCGCCCAGAGATGGAGAGCCCTGGACAGGGAATGAACGCTGTTCTTTGCCTTCAAAGAATCCTGGCTGTCAGGAACTCCTGGGTGTGACTCCAAGCAGGGAAGGGGAAGGGGCTCTGCTCCTCCCAATGGTACTCAGCACCCCTGAGCAAAGAAAAAAAAAAAACCCATCAAAAAAAAAAAATTCATCGCACCAACCACCTTCCCAGATCTCTCCTCCTCCCTGGAAACTGTGCTCAGTTCCTCATTCAGGTGTCTATGCATCTCTAGCGACTTTGAAAACAATACCAAAGACAGACAAAAAAGGAAAAATTTAAAAAAAAAATAAAAATAGAGGAATTTAAAAAAAAAAAAAAAAAGGAAAAAAAAAAGAAGGCAAGTTCCCGTCCATGTTTACTTCCGTGCGGATGGTACGGCACCGGCGGCTCCGTGCTGGCCCCTTCCCTGGCACGGGGCCCTGTCAGCACACAGGAGAATGGACTCTGCCTGTGCTCCAGCCCTACAGAGGTGTCCTTTATTTTTTTCTTTCCCCATTAGATGTTTTGTTTCAAAAAGAAGAAGGAGGAAGCGTGTGCTTGGGTGGGATGAAGGCTCACAGCCTCCCTCCTCACACGGCCAACAGACTCATTTCTACATCTGGGGTGGGGTTGATTTTTTTTTGTTTGATTTTTTTTTTTTTTTTTGTTCCTAGGGTTGGTTTTTGTTCTTCTTTAAAGCCTTGTTACAGAGGTGGATGTAGTTGCACATTCTGGCCTGCTGTGGACCATGAGACAGATCCCTGGGAGGGGGAGGGATGCTGGGGGCTAAAAAACAATGGGCAGAGTTTTTACTACTGTGAATGAGCTGGGAACTCCTGGGGGTGACCTCCTGTGACTTGTACAGTTGTGAACAACAATCACATGTGGTACTTTTCTCTCTCTCTCTCTCCCCTGCCCCCTTTTTTTTGTTTGTTTGTTTTTGTTTTTTGGTTAAACGTTGCACGTGCTACCGTTTTTTTTCTTACAAAATAGCTTGGTGGTACATTAGCTTCTTTATATTGTAAAAAAAAGTTTAAAAAAAAGTCATTATCCATCACATCACGATAAAAAAATGCTTTCCAGCAATCAATTTAAATAAAAAAAGGAAAACACTTAATTTACAAATGGTACCTGGCTTTAACCAAGAAGTCTCTCTCTCCTTTTTTTTTTTCCACTGGGGCCACGTGGGTGTTGTTAAATCCTGGTGCTTCAGAGCTGCCACATTTCTGGCCTAAAAACCAATCCAGGGGTTGGTTCACAGCTGCCAGAAGGCAGCCAGCACTTTGCCCAGCTAAGTTAGAGAAAGGAGAAAAAGCAACTCCTTTCTCTTTTGGAAGAACAGGTAAGTCAAAACCTTTTACTTACTGTTAGGACCTCACAATTCTCACCTGTGGAGTTACATCCTGAACTCCTGCCTGAGGACTCAGCCTCAGTCTTGAGGGCTCCTTAGCCCCTAATAAAGCAGCAGGTACTTTGGCCCCCTCAGAGCGGGCTTTAAATAATGACAATAATGATTATGTTAACAATAAACCCCAAAATACTAATTTCTGAGGTTATCCTCCCTATGGGAGGAAGTAGCTGGGCGCAGGCCTGGTAATTCCTGTAACTGTAGAAGAAGCAGCCTTCCCTGCCTCTATTCCTGCTGCTAAGCAACAACAAGCCAAGAAGACCTTCTTGGCAACAAGGATGGGTTTTGGTGAGGGCCCCAGAGCAAGATAAGGGGTGACAGGGCTGGTTGGTGGAGCAGAAAGGAGAAACCTCAGCCAAAAAAACTTGTACTTCCTTGCTCAGCTCACTTAGCAGGAGCTGAAACCGAACCCTGTGCTATTTAAAGCAGCAGATTTTTAATGAGGGCTTTTTATTACCTCTGCTGAGCAGTTTCACTGGCCTGCACGTGACCACAGTTTTATTGTTACCAAAAACATAACTGGTAGAAAAAGCTTGAGAGTCCCAAGTTGCGTCTCCGCCGCGTCACTGAGCGAGTCCTCGGTGGCACTTGGGGCTCCCACCTGACGTGTTCCCGGCTCTTACCCCCTGCTCCAGGTGCTGGAGGCTCAGGGAATCCAGTCTGTAAGGGATCAGCGTGGAGGGGAAGCCGTGAGGGAGCTCAGTCATCATCTGAGAAGGCCAGGTCCTCCACGATGTCCTCCCCGCCCTGGGCGAGCTGTTCCAGGTCGGAGCGCGACATCCCTCGGGGGCAGCTCCTCTGCTTCCGTGGCCCTTGGGAATCCTGAGCACCTTCCCTGCCTTCCTCTGTGGGTGGAGAGAGAGAAAGAGGTGTAAATCCTGCCTTACTGGGAGCCAGCGTGAGGCGAGTCAAGGCAACTCATGACTAATTAATGCCAGACACTCATTAATTTATTGGCGCCCGGAGCGTGGCAGGAGAGCCCTGCAGGGTGCAGGTACAGCACTGGCTCTGAGGTACCTGAGCCCAAACTGGTACACCTGAGGCAAAAATATACAGGAAGAACTTGGGGGGCACAAGACAGGCAGAGCCTCCAAACCTTCATCCCTCTGGGCTCAGGTCAGTCTTGCTCACTGGAGGTGTCGGGCTGGGCTTTGAGAGCTGGGCAGGAAGGAGCTGTCACAGGTACCAGCAAACCTTCCAAATACAAAAGTATTCCCCAAAGAGAGGGGGGCACAGGTGAGAAATGGTTTCTAGGACCTGCTCGTGGGTTGGAAGGGACCTTAAAGCTCAGCCCATTCCTGCCATGGGCAGGGACATCTTCCTCTACACCAGGCTGATCCAACCTGCCCTTGGACACTTCCAGGGATGGGGCACACACAGCTTCTCTGGGCAACTGTGCCAGGGCCTCCCCACCCTCACAGTAAAGAATTTTTTTCCTAATATCTAATCCAACTCTGCCCTAGAGTCAGTGTGAAGCCATTCCCCCTTGTCCTGTCACTCCAGACCCTTGTAAACAATCTCTGTCCATCTTTCCTGTAGGCTCCCTTCAGGTACTGGAAGGCCACAATTAGGTCACCCCAGAGCCTTCCCTTTTCCAGGCTGTTCCTCCAGCTTGTCTGAGTTCCCCAGCAGGCAGAGAGGGAAAACTCTCCTTCTTTCTCCTTTACAGCATTGTCAGAACACACACCAGATACCCATTTATTCCTGGTGCTGGGGTTTGGGTGTGCTTGCCAAGCCACAGCCATCTGCCACACTAAATCCATCAGATTTTGCTCTCTCTTGGACTCTTTTCCCCTCCCCAAACCAGCAGAGAAGCCGCACACAGGCACTTCTGTGGCTGCTCCCCACAACCACACATCACACTCAGAGGCACAGCGAGGAGCAGAGCCTTGGCACTCTGACACACAGGCCTCAGCAGTGGCACAAAACCCAGCAGAGGAGCCCCACAGTAGCCCCTGGCAGGGCCAGCTTCCCCCTGCTCCATCAGCTGAGGGGCTTGGCAGGCACAGGCACGGCTGTGATGGTCGTGGTTGGGGCTGAGCAGGGGATGGAAGGGGAAGATACGCCCTCCTCAGTGCACAAAGCCTGGCTTGGTGTCCAGCACAGCCCTGGTGACAGAGCTGGCAGCTTTCTCATTTAAAGAAAGCCATTTAGAGCTGCTTTCTGCCTTCTCAGAGCACACACTGACCCGGCAGCCTCTCACTCCAATGCCCACCACTCACCAGTTCCAACTGGGCAGCAGCTACTAATGGGCAGGAGTGACCAGGACCGAGCCCAGAGACTGGTCAGTGGCTCTATGTCCACACACTGTCCAGTGCAGAAACCCCCATGGATGCAGGGCCGTGGACATGGTCTCCTGTCAGTCCTGCCCAGGGAGGAGCTGCAGGTGAAGGGTTACCCTGTGCAGCTCAGATGAAAGGGGATGTGCATCCTGCACACCCCACGTGTGTGGGACCTGCAGGGAGCCTCCAAGCAAGCTCTGTGATCTCCAAGCAAGGCTTCTGTACCCCGTTGGGCTGGGCTGTACTTCGAGTCTGTTTGAGCCTCGCTGCAGGAGGCCCCTGAAAAGAGATGAAAGGGACTTGGGGCTTGTTAGAGCGAGGCCTGAAAAGATCTTAACCCCTTCTCTCCTTGCTGTAACTCAGAACTGCCAGATCTCCCTGCCCAGGGTGTGTGTCTGTGTGTGAAGTCCCTCCTGACACTCTCAGCTCACAAGAGCCAAGGAGCCTTCAGGCACCAGTGCTGTCAGGAATTCCCTTCCCCTTTGCCCAGCTGCTCCACTCACCATCTGACTCACTGTCTTCTCCCAGTTCTTCCTCGTCCTCCTCGATTTCATAACTTCCTTCTTCGTCATCATCATCCTCACCATACTCCTTGCTGCTCTCTTCTGAGCTGTCATCTGATGCTTGCTTGGCTTTGCCTTTACCTGCAAGTATTTTTACCATGTAAATGGAAAAGTGAGGAGCAGCACACGTGCAGGGAGGACACTGAAAGGGCAAAGAGCTCAGGAGCGCCAGACATACACTAGAGGGGATGTTTCTCCACATTTCTCACACCTGTCTCCCCAAAAGCCACATCTCTCTTGCACCAGAGGCCCAGAGAAGGATGGATTTAATTTCAGAGGCACCTGCTAGAGGCCAGGAAGGCCAGGACAGAGTCAAAGAAATCAGCTCAGAACCCACAGCAGGGTTTTACTGCTAAAGCCCAGGATTTGCTGCTACCTGGTACTTATGGAGCACCATGGGCACAGCAGCCAAGTGTTCATCTTGGATCTGCCTGCCCTGCTCAGAGAGACAGGAAAGCTGGACAGACAGAGGAGTACAGGGAGAAGAAATGAGCCTGCTGAAAGGAGAGGGAATAAATCCCACAGCTGAGACCAGAGAAGGGCTGGTTCTACTGAGAGGTGGTGCCTGTGTCACACCCACCTCCACCTTCCATGGTTAGTGCAACCGAGCACAGGGGTAGACTCTGGTTCAGGGCATCCTTGTAAACCTCTCTTAACTTTGTTCCCTCTATTTGTCACAACAAAAATGTCTAGGAACAGGCACTGCTGCTGAAAATTCCCTCTGCAGATGGCAAGCCAGGTCCAAGGGAGCCTGGCAGGAAGGGTTAAGAGCCTCTGGGTGCTTGGCCTGTGGGAAAACCATCCACTTCTGAGCCTCTGGACCCAGATTTCTACTCATGCTGAGTTTGCTGCAGTGAGGGAGTGCTTCTCCCCTCTCCCTCCTCAGGGCCCTGAACGTCACCAGGCTTTTAAATGACAGAACACAAATTCTGTACAGAGGGAGCAGCAGAACCAGCTGCTTCTTGCCTCCTTCCACCCCTGAGCTTACAAACTGCTCAAGAAGCTATTTATTCACACTTCAGACTCTGCCTGGAACCCGCCTGTACATCTTTCTCACTCTGTGGTCCCTGGGCCACACCACGGTGCCTGTTTTCTGTCCCACCCTCCCTGCCCAGCAGCTGACCTATGCAACTCACTGAACTGGAGACAGAGCCATCAATAAGCTGGCTGCCAGCATTCCCAGCTCCCTGTCACCACCCTGTCTGCTCTGCTCTCACCCATCTGTCAGCTCTGCCACAGCACAGTTCCCCCTGAGGGATGGGAAGCCACATCCCACGGCTGGAGCTCCCAGGCACTGCGAACCCCTGCTGCACAGGAGATGGACTGCAGTGCTGCCCACTGCACCCCATCACGGTGATGGGCACCTGAGCAGCTCAGGAAACAACCCAGGGCACGCTCTCATCCATCAAACACCAGCCAAAGCACCAAGGGATCCAGCAACCAGCTCAGCCCAGAGGATACAGTAAACCAAGTGTGGGCAGGGATTGGGTCATTCCTACCTGCTGTAACACAGGAATTTACCCCAGCCTCCTGCTCAGCCCCTGCCTCCCCCTCACACACAAGTCCCAAATTCCACCTCCTGAGGCACAAGTGCATCAGTGAGACCCCAGAAGACAGTGCTTGGGGGGCTGTAGGGAACCAGTTCTGCCCCCCTATTGCTCAGCTGCCAACAGGCCACAGCAGGAATTTTCCCACTGAGAAAGGGCCACGATTCCTCTGGTAGGAAATGAAAAGGCCTGCCCTCTCCCTCCACACCCCTGGCCCCCACCAGTCTGGCATTAAATTGATGT